GTGAATTGATTCTTACCCGTATCCATAAGGGGAATAAAAGTAAGGAGGCACATAAGGCCTCCGAAAACCATATGCCATGTAAGGGTTGAAACCCCTCCCACGAAATTGTTTCATTCCAGGAAGATTTGTCCTCTTGGGCATAACCTGCACGAGTTAAGTACGGAGAACCAAGTTAATGGCAGCAATTCAGCATAGTATGAATCGTATGATAGGGGTAGTAAAATAATTAGACATGCATTTCATGAGCACCCATTGCCATTACAGTTAAAAGAGTCATTATTGATAATGTTTTAGCTTCAAGCCTTTGAGTGTATAGTGGACTGAACTTCCCTTTCTTTTTACTGTACTTTCTATGAAGTTCTTGGCAGTAAATGCAACAAGGCATCAAGGCCCAAGAGCCTAATGGAAACAACCCCTCTACTCTTGCAAATGCGAAGGCAATGTAAATTGGATTGTGATTTGTGAACTGAATAACTCATGCTGTGAATAAATCGCACTCAAGATTAAAATATATACAGACGGGGGGTGGGTGCACAACTTGTACCTTCAACTGGCGTCCATGCAATTCAGATTCGGTCAGCTTGATTGCCTCCTGAACGGCTTCTTGTTCAAGGAATTCGACATATGCAAAGCCCTTTGGCTGGCCAAACTTGTCTGTCAGAATAGTGACTCGGTTCACTGTACCACATGCTTGGAAATGTTGTTGAACTTCCTCAGGGGTGCATGTGTAATCAACCTGAAAGATAACATTATGTATAAGAATAACTATAAAGATATATATGTCAACAAACAAATAACCATTGTTTGTCATAAGAATAATATCTTTACATTTAACCCCTTCAATGAAGTAAAAAATACAAACACTCCTAATATGTTCCTTGCTGCTATAGTAATACCAAAGGCATTCCCTTCACATGGTTAAAAGTTAAAACATGAAAAAATCAAGCCCTTCTCCAACCGCTTATTAGCTAAAAGAATATATAATCATTGCAAGTTTGGCGGTCTTTAAACAATTGAAGTTTCCACACTTCCCTGAGGAACAATGATTCAGATCCTTTCAGTGTAAGTTACTGTTTTTCTTCCTTTTCATTTTTCATTTCACAAATTCTTTTGCCTATTTTCTTTTCACTCGCTTTAAGCCAATGTGACTCCATATTTTTATTTTCAGCAATCACATTTTCCCCACCTCCTTTTTTGCTTGGAATTAGGCATTTTTTCAGGAGTCAGGACTAACATCATTGAAATTCTTTATCTATCTTCCACCATAAAAGCACGGGGTAACAGAGTCAGAGTCAATGCTATTCAGTAACATCCAAGTGATCATAGTCAGATAAAGACACATCATGACTCCCAAGAAGCTAAAAAAAAGTTAGTGTTACGAAGAGAATAAAAAGCTTCTAAATAACCAAACATTAAAAGAAAAAAATTGATGTATGATGGTGAAACTGTGAAAGTTACCAGAAACACGCATGTGAACTTCACCCTTCTAGAAGACTAGAAGGGTGAGTAAAATTAGGTTGAATTGCATCTGATACACAAACAGGCAACCATTATTAGTTGTAGAAATTTTAAGTAGGGGTGCCACTAGGATAATATTGGTTGTGTTCCATGATGTGTGTGTTGATTCTACAGTATCAATCCATCAATGAGACATGACTATAACTCTCTCGATTCATTATCCTATATTCTTGTCCTTATGATACTTTTATAAGATTATTGTTTAAAAGAATTCATCACTCGGAAATAGTCTGTGTACATCTTTTGATCCGCAGACCCCAACAAAGTGGGGATTATATTGGGTTGTAGTCGTTGTTGCTTTTGAAAATTTGCAATTCACACTGAATTACTCAGTGCATGCCACATACTCCAACATTGTTGGGATTACGATGATGGTGACGACGACTACTAGGACAATACATTACAAATAGCAGGACAAATATGAAAGAATAAGATTTAAACAGACTACTAGCCATACAAAGAAACTAAATACAAAGTACAGAGTACATCATAATGCAACTCACATTGCCAACATATACTGATCGTGAATCAAGCTCCTCCTTGCTTGCCTGAGAAGCAGCATCGCTGGCAGGATCTACTCATAATAAGAAATACATATTTGGAAGAAGAATAAAGTATTAGAAGACATGCCAATCTAATCAGACACGCAAAATAATTAAAATATGGAAGAATTTGATTAATGGCCGAACCAAATCAAACTTCCTAATCCAACTATAAACTTCGAAGTTGGGAGTATTTGATACATACAATACGCGTGAACGAGCGAGCTTCAAACCCTAATAAAATTCCAAAAGCAAATTAAAGTAAACCACGTACCACCATGGACGGCGCACATCTCCTTCTCAACTTTGGCTTGCATTTCTCTAAGCGCCGCAGCTTCTTCTTCCATCTCCTTCAGACGTCTCTTCATCTCATCCAGGTCCTGCGATTTCCGTCCGATCAACCATTCTATCCGCAAAATCATAATCAAATAGATAAACGAACAAATTGAAAGAGATCATCGTCAGAGCTATAAGAGAGGACCTTAACGGCGCCGTCATCGGCGGTGGACATGTCGACCTCGGCTCCGTGAGCCTCCGCATCTCCGTCCAATTCACCTTCTATGGGGATTTCGCCTCCATAAACCTCGTGCTCCTCCTCCTCCATCTCCGTTTCTATCTAGTCCCCACAGTCCACACTCGCCCGCACTTGTGGCTAACTTTTTTAAAGGGTAAATTGCTGTTCTTAATGTCCTGAATCAGACCTGAAAAAAGTGCGAGCTGGGCCGGGTCTAGGGGCAAACTGAAACGAGAATTTTTATGTGTGAGCCCGGCCAAGCTTATAAAGCGGGTCTAAGAGTTGAAGTCCGAGTCTGGCTTGTATGGGTACTTATGGACTTCGGGTCAACTTGGTGCACATTGATAACAATTTCTAAATAATTAAAAAATAATTATAAAAACAAAGTTCTAGGTTGGTTGCCGAGACCTAACACAACCCCCTCATGTTTTATTTGGACTTAGGCCCCGTTCCGTTCAACTTATTATTTCTTATTCTTATTAAAATCAGATCAGATCAGATCAGATCACACCAGATCAGATCAGATCACACCATATCAGATCAGATCGAATCAGATCAGATCAGATCAGATCGAATCAGATCAGATCGAATCAGATCAGATCAGATCCTATCAGATCAGATCAGATCAGGACTTATTAAAAATCAGATCTCATCAAGAATTATTATTATTATTATTATTATTATTATTATTATTATTATGATCATCATCATCATCATCATCATCATCATCATCATCATCATTATTATTATTATTATTGTTCTTAAAAATGAAAAAGAATAAACTTTAGAAATAGGTTAAATAGAAAATTGAGAAAGTAATCCTTAATTATTAGACGTCGGAAAAATTAGTTTTAAAATACATTGACAATATCAATCTAATTCTACTTTTAAAATATATTTTTATTGCTACTTGTAGTTTGAGTTTCTAAACTTTTGATCTTTTATAAGGATGAAATATTTTAATAAAAATACTATCTCTTCTATATATTGATTATCTAAATTTAATTACTTTTTAATGTATATCTAAATTAAATATTTATTCTAATGTATAATTCTAATTTTACAAAAAAAATTATCATAAAATAAAAAATATTATTACATTATAATATGAATGATTATTCTAATATATGAATTAACTATTTTTATTTTATTAAAAAATAATCATGAAATAAAAAATATTGATTATATTATAATATGAATTATCATTACAATTTTCAAACGTTATTATAAAGTCAAATTAAATTATTGATTTGAAATTTTAAATTAAATCATAATTAATCAGATCAGACCAGATCAGATCCAATCAGATCAGATCAGATCCAATCAGATCAGATCAGATCAGATCCAATCAGATCAGATCAGATCAGATCCAATCAGATCAGATCCAATCAGATCAGATCAGACCAGATCAGATCAAAATTTATTAGAATCAGATCAGATCAGAAAAAATAAGTTGAACGGAACGGAGCCTTAGGAGCTACTATATAACTTAGTTACATAGTCATAGTTAATTACATTTTAAATCATCGAGTTAATACCCACCATTCCTATAATAGATTAGATCAATATTCTATACATTATCACAAAAAAATCAAGATAGATGTGCTTGCGGTGAATTGAAATAAATGTAGTAGTAATCAGAGCATGTTCTCTTCAACTTATTTTTATTACTTATTTGTATCCAAATCAGTTCAGATCAGAAATAGAGTTTTAAATATAACTACATTCAAATCAGATCGAAACAGAACATCTCTGAACTTATTCTAATTAGATCAGAATGATTTAAATCAGGTGAAGAGAACAAATTCTTAGTTTCACAAATATAGTTTTATGCTTTAGGGCTCATTTGGTTAGGGGGAGGGATGACTGGGAGAGATGGAAAGGCATTGAGGTTATTATTCCAATCTTTCGATATCTTTTATTTGTACGTACATTATTATTAATTATTTAATAAAATAAAATAGATATTTTACCACTTATTTTATAAAAATTTTATATAGTTTTTAAATATGTAAGTTATACTTTAGTTTTTTTACTAATTTGTTAACAAATTCATTTTTAAAAAGATGAGAATTTACTAGTTACTCAAAATAGAACAATAATTTTAAGACGGGGGTATAAAACTCAAAAGAATTAAACTGCAAGGGGACTTGCATAAAGAAATATTCAATTTTTTTAAAGGTACTTCTCGTATTCACAAAGTAATTTCGTAAAGTATGGTGTTATTATTGTCTTAAAGTTTACATGTAAAATATAAATCTTCACACATGCTATGTATTTTTCACAAGTATTCTTATTTTTTTTAAGACAAAACATGAAAATATGAATTAATCAATACATGTTTGAAGACTCAATACATAAAATAATTTTATGTTTGAAGGTCCATAAAACAATTGGGCAATTAAAGACCACAAAAAATTGTATTCCTTAGAATGGAAGAGTTCAAAAAAAATCGTTTTTTTGGACGGTAATTCGTTTCTTTTTCATTCTTGTTGTAGTCCAAAAGTCAGTGTGAGCTGCAAAGCGAACGGGTCAACGAGATCTCCATAGTCAAGATCTACGGCAGCAGCGTCGTCGGTTCACATTTTCTCCCGTCTCTGAGCCTCCGATTCATTCATTTCCACCCATTCCCCCCAACGCAGCTACTGTTACAGAAGAAGAAGCGGGGAGGAGAAATGGGAAGCAGCGGCGGCGGCGGAGGATACGGCGACGGGGCGGCGCAGAAGATAGACTACGTGTTCAAGGTGGTGCTGATCGGAGACTCGGCGGTGGGAAAGTCCCAGCTGCTTGCACGCTTCTCCCGGAACGAGTTCAGCCTGGACTCGAAGGCCACCATTGGGGTGGAGTTCCAGACCCGGACTATGCTCATCGAACACAAGTCCGTCAAGGCTCAGATCTGGGACACCGCCGGCCAAGAACGGTATCTCTTTTCTCTTCTTCTTCTTCTTCTTCTTCTTTTTCCTTCAAATTCTACTTCACTTCAATTCAAGCATGTCTTCTAGTGCAAACTCCTGTGACATCCACTTGGTAATCTCTTCCTATTTAGAAGCATGGTTGTTTGATAAGGAAAGTTATTTGACTGAATCCCCAATAAACATATAATCTCATATCAAACACCCAAGCTAAAAAAAGACCAATGCGGGTATATAAGAAGAAGCAGAAGAATTACTCCTCCCATTGCCAATTAGTTTTGGGATGAAATCTCGTAATTCTACAGGTATTGCCAATTCTCATAATGAATGAGATTGTGTTTGTCATTTGTATGATGTTGGATCAATTCCAATAACAAGCAGATATAGAGCCGTGACGAGTGCATACTACCGGGGAGCAGTTGGGGCTATGTTGGTTTATGACATAACAAAGCGCACAACCTTCGACCACATGCCGCGTTGGTTGGAAGAGTTGCGGGCTCACGCTGACAAGAACATAGTCATCATTCTAGTTGGAAACAAAACTGACCTCGAAGGGCAGCGTGCTGTTCCAACTGAGGATGCCAAGGAATTCGCAGAGAAGGAAGGGCTGTTTTTCTTGGAGACTTCTGCGCTGGAGTCGACAAATGTGGAGCAAGCATTCACGACGGTGCTTACACAGATCTTCAACATCGTGAACAGGAAAAATCTCGCAGCTGCGGCTGAGAATGGAGGGAATGGGAATCAAGGATCTTTAACAGGGAAGAAGATCTTGGTGCCTGGCCCTGCACAAGTCATCCCAGAAAAGAAATCAATGTGTTGTAGCTCCTGAGGTGTGATGATCGGATAATACGTTTCTTCTGCCACTAATATCTGTTGTAATTTGATTTTGTACATCTTAAATTCCATATATATATATATATATATATATATATATATATATATATATATATATATATATATATATATTTTATTTTCACAAACTGTTTTGTACAATGGAAATTGTTGTATACCATTGTGCATCTCTTTCCTTTGCCACTGCTTTTGCGATGATTAATTTACACTTTCATTTGTTTACTGTCATCCCTTTTTCCCCCAAAATCATTGGTCTAAATTCTTGCATAACCACCAGTCCACCACATTAATTCCAACATGATTAGGACTGACCAATGACCATTTGTAGTTTTGGACTCCGTACTTTATCATGTCAGTGAAGGGCTTGTATACTTTGGGTAGCTGATCAATTCAGGATTGTATTCATACAGTTTTGTCCCTGAGTAGATAAACTGAAATTTAATTAACACTAAATATAGACTAACACTATTCTTACAAAACAATGAATTATGAAATCTTTCTATATGAAATCCACATAAATGAGGGCAACTACGTCTGCAGAGAATCAGTAATATCTTGCAAAACAAAATCTCAATGTAAATGGTGAGTAAAATAAATTACCCTAAACAATGGGGATTTCAGAATTTTCTGCACTTTCAGGAGCATCTCTTGTCTGATCTTCTGCCTCAACAAAAGATTGGGTGTTTCCATGTAAAGATGGCATCTTATCTGCTACTGTGTACTTAGACATCCTTTCTAATAGTTCTTGACAGTCGAGCGAAGAGGCCATCACAGATATGCTAGTCCTCCCTCTCCAGCATGCAATTGCAGTCTTCTGATCTGTAAAATCAGATAAGGCCTTTCAGAATGAGCGCATAAAAGCCTACTGCTCCAAGACGGTAAGAAACACAAATGCACCTTTATTGTCTAAAACCACCACACAGCAACCCAACAATAGGTTTGAAGCCTTTTCTCCAGTGTTTGAATCAACAAAATCGGTAAATTTGATGTTTTTGTACTGCAATAGATGTTTGAGGTCTACTAGAGATGTGTACAGAACTTGTTTTGTTATGTGTGGCAATAGAAGTGGCACTCCTTCAGATGAAAAGCAAAATGCGCATGGTGCAGATGCACCGTCTTTAGATTTTTGTCGTTCCTAAAAGGGAAAAAATAACTGAAATTGTCACAAAATGCTCTGTATGAGGATAGACCCAGTTATCCATCATACATACCCACACTATTTTTTCTTTTGATTTTAACACTTGTAGGTACAACTTTTAAATTTTGGTAAGGTATAACTTTTCATATAAACAATAATCAATGATGCCAATCCAACCAGGTAGTATCAAGAAGTATGAAAAAGAAAATCAGTGTCAAGGAAAACTTACAAACATCTTCAGACCAACTGAAGCTATCTTAAGCTGCTGGCTGGCAAGAAAATTGAGTTCAAGAACCTCCTTCACAGACTTGGATACGTAGTAGATTCGCTTCACATTGTTAACATCACTGTTTCTGGTAATGAGATGCCCATCAAAGGGAAAGGTTTCTTTTATGCCATAGAAATCTCGAATCTTATTAGTAACTTCATTTTCCCTGTAAAAGATAACTGGGTCAACCCCTCTCCCCTTGCCCTGTGTTTGTAACTTCCGTTTTCTTCCAGCCATTTGAGGACTAACACTAGTATAATTAGAGGGGTGGACATCATCATCAGCTTCATTTTCTTGAGATGTTTTAACAGAATTATTATAAAAAGCAGCGTCATCTGTTTCTTTATCAAGTAAATCTGCATCTTTAGTCCCTTCAGGAAGTTGAATGCCTCCAATATCTGCTGACTCTGCTTCCACCCCTTTTGAAGCATCCTTGATCTCAGCAGTTGACTTCTCAACAAGGTCTTTATGATTAACTAAATGAATAAACATGAAGTTAAAAAAAAATAGCATTATGATTGCATAACGCTTTTGTCGGGGCAAAGGGGATTTAATGCCGGGCACACCGACTCCCGATCGGGTGGATCGGCAGGGGCGGTGCTGCCGATCGGCGACAATGCCACATGGCCATTGTCGAAGCCCACAGCCAACATCCTAATAAGGTGGAGACAAGGTCATTGGACGTAAAACTTTGCCATTATTTTTTTTGCATAGATTAAATTTGAACCTGACACAACAAATTTTCTATCACAAGTCACAAACTTCCAAATAGATGCGGATTAGGGTGGCCATGCCAACAACCCAATTGAATTCCACGAGAGTAGGGTCTGTGGGCATGTGTAGGCATACTTTACTCCTACTCGAAAGTAGGGAGGTTGTTTCCAAGAATCCCCTGGCTCGGGTATTACAGATAGCACAAGATCACAGAAGACATATAACACAAAGAAAGCATAGAGCACAAAAAAAGCAAAGAACAAACTAATATTAACGAAGGAAAAACACAGCAAGCATAAAAAGCACTCAACAACAAGTGCGAAAACTACCCCCAAGCCCAAAATGCCTACCCAACTACCTATATCCTAACTCTCCAAACGCTCCTATGTAAGGTCATATCCTCAGTAAAGGCCGGAAGTCCTAGATCTTGTCTAATCATCTTCTTCCAATTCTTCCTAGGTCTACCCTTCCTCTACTCCTACCCTCCACCGTAAACTTCTCACATCTCCGCACTATGGTCTCAACACTCCGCCGCCTCACATGCACAAACCACCTCAACCCAACTTCCTGCCGCTTATCTTCCACAACCCGTCCTTGAATAACCTCGCTCTGAGACCTATCTATCTCCGTCTGTACATGCATCCACCGCAACATGCAGTTGACGAATGTAAAATGGCAGAACTTACCTTACATCCTAGCTGACCTCCACTTAGCCCAAGCAACTCCAATACAGTGTACAACATACCCGTGTAACTCCCCATCCACCTGAATGACCGAACCGGGGTCAATGGGGACTATTTACTAAATTAACCTATTGAGCCAAAATGACTGTCGCAAGTTGGCACTTGGCATATTATATACTTCTTCCGTCCCAAAAAGATGTTTCCATTTTGACTTTTAGGAAATTTAAGGGGGGATTTTTTTGTTGACTTTCCAAAAATACTTTTGATGTGATTGGTAAAAGTAGGATGTGATGGGTAGATTATTATTAAAAAGGTATGATGTGATAGTCAGGTTAAGAATTAATAGGATAAAAGTTGTTTTTTATTGAAAATGAGAAGGATTTTGTGGGACAAGTAAAAAAAAAGGGAAGGAGATTTTGGGACGGAGGGAGTATTTGCTTAATTCGAAAGAGTTCTCCAAACAGTAGAGAATGACACATAAATTTATCAACTAACAGTTTATACTCAGATTAAAAGCCATGCAGCGGTTTGCACACCCATTTACTTTTTGGGATGCTTACCATGCTATTTCTTTGGCATGCATATGCAGCACCTGAGAAGCACGTGTCCTGGTGTCATCGACGTCAAATATGTACCACTCACCCCCCCCCCCAAATGACACCTAACAAAAAGGAACATCTACGACCAAGCTCTAAAAGTGCTCCAAATAATGTACTGCCAGAAGGCCCAGAACTGAATTAAACAAAAACAAGTATTCAGTACTTCCATAGTACTTACATGACGGATTTGAAAGCTTGTGAAAGACAGCAATAAAGAAAGCCCCGGTGTTCTGATCATGAGGCACTATCCTCATACAGCGTTCTAAAGGTAATGTGGACACTTCCTCTTCCAGGGTGTTAGTGGGAGTTGGTTGTTCGACTTCCACACTTCTTAAATTCCAGTTACAGCCATCATCACATAATTCAGTACTGGTCACTTCATTCACAGATGAATCCACATGGGTCTTCCTAGAAGGAAACATTCCAGAAACAATTGAACCTCTTCGATGTTCTGGAACATCTTTGTAAGAAGCCAACCACACTCCTTTATCTTTAACCTGCAGTTTAAGTTAAATGATTATTAAAACACGTGTTATGCGGCCTACAAATGACACAAAAAATTATGGATGTTAATAGTGCCACTCAGTATAAGTATAGCACTTTTTCCCGGTGCAAAAATGGAATGTTTTCAAGCAGCATTTGATTCGATTAAATTGCACAAAAAAAGTCAGTTTTCCTTTTGTATACACACTAATGTACTCATAGCACAAGCACACTCATGTGTTAACAGTTAGCTAGCAGTGAGCCATTCCAAATTCATTTGTTTGTAATTTGCTAAAATGTACTTCGCAGATGCTAAGCTAAAGACATTGAGAGGAACCAAAGGGAAGAAGTGTTCCTCTAGGAACTAGGCACATTGTAAAGCTAGAGAATCGGATCTTGACATGCATGATTACTACCAATGAATTCTAGATGAGATTTTTAAATACTCTCTCATATGAGTGTGCTCATGTGCATGCGATCCATGCATATGAAATATGTAAATAATTATATATGCATAACATGTACACACATATAAGTTCCGGCATGCCTTTTCGCTTATTCTGGGAAGTGGGAACTGCAAGCTATCAGTTTTCAAGTCATGCCTTGCTTCTATGTAATCACATTGAGGCCTACCTCTGAATATTCATTATCTAATTTTAGGTAGCGCTTGGCAGCTGTGATGCATAGAAAAGTTGGAAACTCTTAAGATATAACATTTCTAGTTTTCTACATATCAGACTGTCTTGGGAAACTTTTCCCATTAAACTCTTTAGCTGCCATCCAACAACTTGCCAAACTATGTACAACCGCATTCGACCATTACTCTAGGACCACTTAGAACATCTTTTAAAAGCAAAGTCAATTGACCCCCCCACCCCAAAAAAAATGAAGCGACAGATATCAATGCATATACATTATAAAAGCTTGCCAAAGACCTTCCATCTCTTAAGACCTGGGCGGCGAATAAGATGAGGAAGCTCATTGGAGACGTCAAGAAGTTCAACAGACTGTCCGCACCTATGCAGAACCTGTGGAAAGAAGACAATCATGAACTTGCATTGGAGCATAATGATTGACATAATAGTGAAAAAGGATAGATAAACAAAAGAGCCGTTAAATGTTGAAGGCGTGGGTATGCTAGAGCTAAAGTTACTGTTAAAATTGAGATCAGCAGCCTAAAAATTGACGTTTGGTGATTATCTGGTTGAGCTAAAAACAGCTGTCAGTATGCCATAGGTACGAAAATTTATGACTAAGGTTAGAAAGGATCCAAAGGAAGTTGGAAAGAATCAAAAGGTGGAAATGTGGAATGTTTATCTGGTTGGACCAAAAGCAGAGAGAGATGTCAGAATATCATCATTAGAGCTCTTCACAAACATATGCATGAACAAAGATTTGCCTGCATTTAACAAGTTCTCCCCAATCAAAGTACTAAGGTGTGATGGAAAAAGGAAAAAAAACTGCTACGTACTACTGCAAATTATACGCAATGTCAAACGAACACATATATCTCTCTGAGCATTGTATTTCTTTTTCTCATCCAACTGCCATGAACTTAACACAAATAACCTTCTTAGAAATCCAAAACAAAAACATTCTCTAAGTAAACATAATAGAACGAAACATCACCTCAGCAACTACAGCTTCATTCTCAACAGGATTCATTGAACAGGTGGAATAAACCATTCGCCCACCAACTTTAAGCAAAGAAATACCTGGAATGCATGGGTGAAAAGCCATAAACTTAAGCATGGCTTGGTAGAACGGATAATGTAATGGAAATTGCATTTTCAATCCAAGTAGTCAGCCAACACAGGATTTACGTCAGTTTTAAATGACATGCATCTTTGTTGATCCTAAGGGTCTCCAGGCGGAATCTAAAATATCTTAGCTTATCTTCCTTATAAAATGAAGGAATAAACCAATCAGAAAGCTTTACAGCAGTGAAAGTATCCAATCATGGTTTGCATATTCAATCTGTCCACCTAAACGTTTTCATGAGAAGGGAATTAGAGAATAGACATGTTTAAACTTTGATGCGGGGAAAAAAACAGATTTAATATTTTTAACGCAGATGACTCCTTCATTCTCATTTAAGAATCCTATCGACAGTTGGAACCATCCATGTCAAATGTATAAAACATGTTCCAAGCTCCAACATAAAGCTTAGAGATGGTTGGCACACGCAGGTTAAAGTTGTGCTAGACATATCAGCTGAACACACCACCCCAGCGCATGCACGCACACACGCATGTACTGCAAAAACACCTTGCATTGCTATCTGAACTTGTAGACCATGCAGACCATTGCCCATTCCCCCAGTCCTACAAAGGGAAAGAAAGGACTAAGATCTAAGATACATATATTACAAAATGAAGAAAAGCTACAGCAATACATATTTTATATTTAAATACCATTTACTCCAAATATTAGGTGCCTTGCGTAAAGTGCCATCCCCACTACACGGAACATCACATAAAACACGATCAAAAAGAAGCTGAGTTATATTGGGATCCTTGAAATTCCTAATCTCAGAACTGTTCAGATGGAGTCTATCCACGTGACAGCTGGGAAAATGTTGTGCTTTATGATTTGTGACAATTAAGTTGGCATTGCACATTCTCTTTGTTTGGTGGATAAGAAGGTTGCACCTTTGCACATCAACATCATTTGCTATTACCTGTAAAGAGGAGCGTCGAGATAAACAACAAACATTTGCAAATGAGTGAACACACTTAATCAGACAGAAAAGATAGAGATACCAATTATGTGAAAGAAAAAAGCACAGATTAGCCAAAATGTTACTCGGTAAAACACATTAATAGTTAATGACCTAGAAGTAGAATGGGAAAAGTGATAGAACAGGAGAGTACCAGTCCACTAGGTAATGATCCAGGTTCAGCCATGTGGGATATCATCTCAAGCAATTGAAACGTTTTGGAACCGGGAGCAGCACACACTGTACTTGTAAAGAAACAGTCTTTGCAGGTCAGACTCAGATCCTTCACATCCAAATGAGGGTATTTTTCTCTCAAAATTGACATATAAAAAGAAGCTTACTATCGATAACAAAATGATCAGGACATACATCTAGGAACAGTGGAGGCACCTGAACCAAAGAAGTCAGAAAATAAATGTAAACTCCAGTGCATTTAAAGAGTACACTCTAAATAAAAAGGATTGTAAAGCTGGTCCACCATGCTAACAGCTTCCTGTCTTGTAATGTTTCCAATTTCATTTTGCAGTTTCAAGAATTCATGGAACCTGAAATTTTTGTTATTAAAAGACATAAAAAACTGATTCGACAATTTCTAGCAATTGCATTATATACACAATGCCCCAAAATATGAAGCTTTTGCATGCCATAGACCTGAGTTATGTAAAGGATTCTTTTTTGGAAAGGTGTGGCAAGGAAAGCTTATGATCATCAGCAATTTCCGGTTTCTTTTGCTTGTGTGTATCTAAAGCCTTTTTTGCAGGGCGGTGTAGCATGATGTGAGAGAGAGACGGGTGGGGGGCTGGGGGCATCGATATCGAATATACCTTCTTTAGTACTCCATAATTTAAAAAAATATCATGTACCTCTTAAGCGTCTTGTTCTTTCGTAACTGTTTCCGAGAGAAATTGGAATGCCAAGCTAGGTTGTCCGGGTACCAAGGCAAGGGTCTGATTGCCTCTACTTCACTCCCATCTGCACTCTGGGGATGATTTAGTTGAGTGTTTAAAGCTACGTATATGGACTATGGGCCATTAGCCTCAAACTTAATGCAGATACATTATATGATTATAATGTGTTTGCAGATGGGTGGGAGGGGGCACGAACCTCTGCCAGAAGAGAGTTCATGAAATCATCCTCCAACATCAATCTAATCTCTGTATAGCACTGGCTACTGCAATTGGCCATCAATGAAAATAGCAGATATATATATACACGAAATAGCAAGTTTGTTTTCTAAAAATGGGCTAATTTAAAAAATTGCACATTGTCTATTTAAAAAACTAACTATATTGATGAGTTCAACAATAAAAAAGATCCACGAACCACAATCTCAAAGGCAGAGAAACCAATCAAGGTTCATACAGAGTAATTCATTCACTACATACAAGAAGATTTCAATCCAGGGAAAAAAAAGTCTAAACGTAGCTAAAATCCAAGTGTACTACCCTACAGCATATGCAGTGATTGATTCGGAGAGAAACGGAGAGGGACCTGGAATTGATTCTGAAAGCAGCAGGAAGAGGAGTCCGGAGATACTCAATGAAAGTCTCCCACTCTTCCGGCGGCACTATTCCTTGCTCCTGCAAAATCGCAATCTAAAATCTAAATTGAGCCAACGCAAAGTACGCGCTTCCGGCGAGGGGAAATAACGATGGAGATCGTCAATGCACCTTGTAATATTCTTCGAACGAATGATTTCTGGCGGGGAAAGGCTCCCTAGGAGGAGCGCGAATGGTGGAGGCGTCTCCGTCACCGTCATCAATGACAGAGGGAGCGGTATCCGGCGGTTTATCGGAATCCGGTGCCTGGAGTCTCCCGACGTCATCTCTGAGCTGCCGGAAGTGTTTTCTCTGCGTGCGAGATCGACCTATGCCTCCCATTACTATTCTTCTCCTTAGATTGCTCTGCTGCAGCCTCTCAGCTTAACTGCCCTTGTTCTTCTGAACAGAAAGGCGGGTAAGGTGATGACCATTTGGGCCGGAGCTCATTTTCCAGCAAATTTTCATTTTCAAATATTTTAATATATAATTTTTATTTTTTAATTCTATACAATTTGTCATATAAAATAATTTATAAATAATTTTAGACAAATATCGTAAACTGAAACAAACACTATATAAATTGGGATGGAGGAGTATTAAATTATTCTAAAAACTTTCTCAAAAAAAGTACTCTAAAAACTCAAAAATCATACTCGATTTATTTCATTGTGCAAGAGAAATGCCATTTGAGATTGAAAGAATACGTTAGACAAATATGGGGAATTAAATTTTTCTAAAATCTCAAAATCTTTACTAACATTGGAGATAATTTGAAGTGTTAAGATTATTTTATTTATTTTAAAATATAAATTTGTTGCTTTTTGCTTTTCAATTACTACCTCCGTCCCGCTATATTCGTCCACTTTTGACTTTTGGAACTGTTCATCTAAGTACTTTGACTCATCAAATTCTCTCAATGTGTAAGCCTAAATATAGTTATGTGTGATCTTGTTTGATTTGTCTTAACATATAGATTATTACTCTCTCAATGAGTAATATATAATTTCTATAATTTTTTAATATACAAATTACAAGATAAAATGAATTAAAAAAGTGCATTGGATGGTGTGCAAAAATGAAAGTGGACAAATATAATGGGACGGAGGGAGTATTTCTTTCAATATTATATTATTGTTTTCTTTCTTTTACACTAAATTGTACGGAGTAAAATACATAGTAAACTAACCTAAATTAACGAATTGTGTAAAAGAACATGCTAAAGGGATACCATAACATGGTGAAAGAATGCTTTTCTTTCACTCATTTTTTGAAACATTCAATATTCAAATGTGACCCATATTCAGTTACATTGGATAAAAAAAATACACACGAAAATGGCACTATTTAGGGAAGTAGAACATAATCAAAGATGAAATCCGTAAAATCTAACTTCAGACCATCATCTATTATTTTGGACTCCCAATTCTGTTAAATATGTAATAAACATGTAACATTAAATCACTTGCGAACTATGGAACTAGTAGCTTACTACATTAATTCTTTTTGTGTAACAAAGTACAACAAAAAAGACCAATTATAAACAGATAACGAGCAGTCAAAACATGCTTAGTCTGTAAAATTGGGGACTCAAGGAGTATAAAAGATCACAAAACCATCTCTATGCATAATGGAGACCATAGACAAAAACAATACTTTAGGGAGGAAAATGGATCGAAATTGTAGAACTTCAAAAAGGAGATAAATAGCAACAAAAAACACCAAACTCAGTAGAAATGCCAGTCTAAAAGTCTCATCATCAACTGTTTAGCAATTCTTCAAAACTTAGAACAGAAAAAACTGATAAAGAAAGCGCAAAGTTCAAAATAACAATAAGGAGGGTTGGGGGGTACATGACAAGGAATTTCATGATTTAGGCAGCAATGGAGGGCTTAGAAGTAGCAGTGGAGAGTCTGGACCTCTTCTTGGCTAAACTCTCAGAGCGCTTCTCTCTTTGCTCCTTCAACCTGCTAGCGAGCAGCTTCTGGTACTCCTGAGCTTCTGCCTTGGCCTTGACAACCCTCTGCTTCTTCTCAGCAATTCTAGCTCTCTTCCTCTGAAGAGTCAATGGAGTCACCAGTCTCTGTATTTTTGGGGCTTTGCTCACCTCCTTACCTGTATCCAAACAAATATTGTTGTTTGATATGAGAACCAAACAAATATTGTCGTTTGATGTTATTCTTTAATTTGTGCACTTCAACTTTGGTCATCAAATGTGGTGCTAAAATGGTGCTTACAAATTACTCCTACTTTAATGGCGGTCACTTAGACCTCCTGGTAGCATCTTTCAATTTCAGTAATGTGGTCACTTGGACCTCATGCAATCCTACTTTTGTGGTTATTTAAATCACTTTGTACATTTTGCTTTCAGAATAACTAATTGAATCACACTCAACTTGTTTGATATTAGAAATTAATTTTAAAGCTGGAGTATTAGGCTTCATTTTATACAAAACAACATTTGTAACAGGATGCTAAAGAAGCAAATTATGCAGTTCAAGAAAAAAGTAGTGATTACCCTTTTTATTAGTGAATGTCCGGCGGTATGTGTTGACATACTTCCTCACATCATCATCCTTGGAGAGGTTGAAGAGCTTCCTAATCTTTGAGGCCCTCTTAGGACCCCTCATCCTTGGCTTCTCCACATCAGTGAGGCCAGGAAGCTCATTTTCACCCTTCTTCACAATGACTAAATTCAGAACTGAAAGGTCCTGGCTGACAATGCACCCACGCACTGACTTCCTTCTGCGCTCTCCGTTACGCCTTCCATACCCTCTAAAGCAAGGAGTACCTGCTCATCCTTGATATTATTAGCTCTTGACAAATGTTATGAGAAAATGTTACACAATTAAACGAATAATCTAAATACCTCTGTGAAGTAAGAGACGAACACGTCCTGGAGTCAAAACTCCCTGCTTCATGGGAAATCCCTGCTTGTCACAGCCACCCATGATCTTGAACACATAACCTTTAAACTCCTGCCAATAAAAAACATGCAAAATGTCATATACAGAGTACTTAGTATTGTAGACACCAAGACAAATATGGGCCACATGTGAGAATACCTCGCCCAAAGCATCTCCATCGACTTCATGAGAGATCCTCTTCTCATAAAAGGCACGCCTGCATTGTTAAGATATTGAAAATTCCTTACTACACCATATAATGATAAGTAATACATTCCACAGCTAGACAAAAGAATAGGTTGAAGAATGATCAACTACAGGATAAAATGGCTCCATTAATAAATTCATCGTGCAATGGTAAGATGAAGGAATACAGTATAAACCATCATGGACGAATTGTAAATGGCTGTGTAGTTGGATTACAGTGAAGTAATTGATTAGGGGAAACAAGGTCTTATGCAGCTTCAGTTACACATTGGTAGCTGATGGTACTGCTGGTGTTCACTTTGTTGGAGAGTAAAAGATGGTTAGATATCATAATCAGTAGGCTTCCAGTTCTGGCCAAAAGGTGGAAGTTTGACTTTTCATTCCAAATCATCTACAATCGTATACCAATTGAAGTCTATAAACATTCAAATCTGTGAAAGAAGTGATCTTGTACTAATTTCATTCCATAAATCAAAAAAAGAGACAAAGTATAAAGTGCCATACAGAGTTATGACATCATTCATTTCAACAGATCAAATTAAACCCAATAGACAACTAATCAAAAAATAACAGATGATTTCACTAGAGACAAGCTAGTGAGCATGTCATTGTATAGTTTTCTGAAAAAGAATACATCATAGACCAAATCACATCGATATCTCTATATAAATAGGTTGTTATAGCCTCTGTTTCAGAGTAAATTGAATCAAAACAATACTAGGTAATCTATACGTTTCTAAGATGTTAATCAGCTGCGATTAGAAACAGATCACGAAGAAAGAAGCAACGAATAACACATGCAAAAATACGATTAATATAAACCAAAATGAATCGAGTCATACAGCTTCTGCTCATCGTCAATCTCGAGCTTCTTCTGGCAACCAGTAGTCGGATTCGCGATGTTGAACTACATAACACCAAAATCAAACAAAACAGATTATAAACGTATACGAATCCGCACACATTGTCCACGAACGCAGAAATGTTTACAGTCGCATACCTTCATCTTCTCTCTTGGGAAGGAGAAGCAGCAGCTGCGACAATCAGCTTCTCTCTCTGATGCTCTGCGGCAGCAACGATGATTAGGGTTTTAATGGCCACAGCCCAGGAGAGTATTTATTCGTTTACTGTTGATTTGTTTGGGCTAGGGTTACTTAGATATGTGTGGGTCAAATATTGGGCTTTTCACGATTCGTGTCCACATATCAAGTCCTTCAATATTTTTTCAGACTTCATTTTTTTCATATCCATTATTTTCACTTTCATTTTCCCAATGTCCTTCAATAGTTTTTCAAAGTTCACCCCATTGGTCATAAGTTCTAAAACTTCAACTTATTCTTACTACTTATTACTTATATTTATTATAATTATATCAGATTAGAGGTAACTTTAAATATAATTACATTAAAATCAAATCCAAATAAATTAGCGTAGAATTTATTTCAATCATATCAAGTGATGAAAATAAGTCTTTCACTATATCAAGCATCAAATATACCCAATTGACTTGGCCGCTATTTATTACCGAGTATGAATAAAATGTCCACCTTGATTGTTAATAACGTAGGCCTTGTTCTTTTAAGTTGGAAAAATTAGCTTTTAATTTCTTCTAACTCATTCTAATTTCTTGCAACTCCTTCCGATTCCTTTTAAGTTCTTCCAATAACGACTTAAAAATGTATACTTCCTCCGTCCCACAAAGTTTTATACATTTTTACTAAAGTGGAAATTAAATGAGGGATAATTTTGTGTTGACTTTTCAAAAATAACCTAGATTTGATGTGTAAAAGTAGGATGTGATGTATAGATTATAAGGAAAGAGGTATGAAGTGATAGGTAGAGTTTGAAAAAGTAAGAGGTAAAAGTGGTTTTTTAATAGAAATTGGTAGGAGATAGTGGGACACAATTTTTTTGAAAGGTGTAAATCTTTTTGGGACGGAGGGAGTAATATTTTACCCCAACCACGGACTGTGATAAAAAATTTTTATCTAAAATTAAAGCTTTTTTATATATTTATTTAGATCATCATTTAATTCTTTCTACATTTTCCAACTCCTTCGAGTTTCTTCGCAAAAAGCATGTACCACATGACTTCTTCTTTAACTCTTGTTGTCTTAAAAATTTACAGTAAATTTCATAAAAAATCTCTAGTTATAAGTCGTTTTTCATATTTAGTCCTCACATATCAAATGACAAATATCAATAATTTAGTTCCCAATTATTAAATTGTTTTCTATTAATGGTCCTCTGTTAACATTCTCGTTGAGAGTATGGATACAATTGTAAATTCACACTCCTCTCTTTCATCAATTAAGCTTCATCCCTCCTCTAATACTCCTTCCCAAACACGTCGCTGAGTTTGTAGCACTGAACCCAAAATCAAAACTATCACAACTGCCTCAATTATTTGTCTTCCCGGTGGAATCCAAAATTAAAACAAGTAACCTTTATGGCTGAGTTTCAAGGGTTAGTCTCAGAAAATTACAAAGAAAACAAGCCTTGGAACTCATTCATGAAGGTTACCAATTTTGATTTTGGGTTCCACTAGGAACACGAATAATTGAGAAAGGAATGATGGTTTTGGTTTTGGGTTAGAGTTTCAAACCAAGTGACGGGTTTGGAAAGGAGTACGAGAGGAGGGAGGAAACTTAATTAATTAGAGGAAACTTAATTAATTAGAGAAGAGTGTGAATTTTTAATTTTATCTATGTTTTTAATTGGAATGTTAAGAGAGGATCATTTATGGAAAATAATTTAATAATTGAGGACTAAATTATTGATTATAACTGAGAACCTTTTATGAAATTTACTCTAAAATTTATCACAATTTGATTTGTTTAGTCAAATTGTGCAACACTTTGACCCTAGCCTAAATATTTTTTTAATTTTTAAATAATTAAATGTTACATAAATTTTATTCATCAAAATTAGTTTTTAAAATGAACCCAATTTTATTAAATTTAGATTATAATTAAATATTTTTTTAATAATTTATGATCAAAACATAATACAGTTTGACCAAAAAAATCAAACTATAATGATATTTTGGGACGGAGATTGATAATAATACTCGGTAGTAGTATTTCAGACCCACTTTGCCAATTAAGAATGTGATCCATCTTGTTCATTGTGTGTGATGTCATTCTACACTAACTTTGTGCGGCCTGAATGCTCCCTCACTCTCAAAGATTTGTCTTGATCACATTTCACAACATAACATTTGTATGAAATTTTCATTTAATTAAAATGTGAGGCAAATGTCATTCAAATCATTTTAAAATAGAAAACTATCCAACCTCATTCACACATATGGGGAGTTAGACGGAGATGTTGTGCAACGTATTGGAGCAACTCGGGCTAAATGGAGGTTAAACTGGCTTCAAGGGTGTTGTGCGAGTATGGGCAATGTATGCATACAAACACTCTCCCAGACCTTACTTTCATTGAATCCAACTAGATGTTCTTTTTTTATTGATGGTCAATATCGTAGTATGACATAAGTCTATTTGAAACTTGTTCGACCTGGGAATAATTTATGACAAATTCTTCTGTGATCCTAAAGTTCACAGACCTTAGTATATAAATACCCTAAATAAATTTAACTCTTTAAAAAAAATAAAAAAACTCTATGTCGGCGCACAAAAAATGTGAGAAGGTCTACATTTCACATGTGAACATTGATATCACGAAAACATAACTCATAATTCATTCGCAAAATTCCTCCTCAAGCCTGAACCCCTATCCCGCCCTTTTACCCCACTCCACCCCTCCCCTTAGGCACCCCCACCTTTGGGTGACAATCGATTACGGAGTATCAAAATCTCCGGTATTATTACTATTATCTTTTTTTCTTTGGAAAAAATTACTATTGTCATTATTCTTCAGTTCAAGCAATAACTCCTTTAAATTCATACTATTTCTTCAATCTCACTGAAAAATTTCCAACTTATAGTGCAGATTACATTACAAGTTAGAAATTTTTCAGCGCAACAAAGAGAGTAGAGAGCACAAACATATATAGAATGATGAGGTTCATTGACAATGGCATGAAATAGTAGTAGTGACTTTGGCTAGCTCACAAATGCACGTATGAAGTCCCCACTTGACTCCATATCATCATCATCCTCCTCCTCATCTATCTCCCCATCAAAGTCTATTTCGTCCATGTCATCAACCAGTAGGCCACCCGGTCCGGTCGCCTCGCGAGCCTCTTGTATAATGGCCAACACTTGTTCAACACTCTGCCAAGCTCTATTCTTATCATCATCATCATCACCATTTGCTTCTCCATTGCTGTCTTCGAGTGAAGAGTCCATGGTTTCTTCTGAAGAGCTATTAAGAAACCATGGGTGTTTCTTGATCTCCTCTATGCTTATCCTCTGCATACATGTTTCTACTTAACTTTTATTTCTTGGTTTGCACGATTTGATAATCCCATACAAGGTCGTGTGTGGACAGGGTGGGTGAGTGTACGCAGGACCTTACCCCTACTCAGACCTGACTTACTTTTTTACGGATTATTGTTAAAATAAATAAACGAAAAAAACTCAAAATAGTAACCTCGTCAGGATCTGACACGAATATCCGAGATAAGAGATGCTTGCACTCCTTGGATATCCGGACGTAGCTCGGGATTGAATATTGAACACTTAATATTCTCTGCACCAAAAGAAAGAAAAAAAACCCATAGCTTAAAAAAAAAGACATTAACAGAACCAAAAACCAAAAGAGAGCAAGTCATGTTGATGTGTACATACAGTGATGGTTTTCTTGAAATCTCTTGGGTCCTCAGGGTCTTCAAAGGGATAAGCACCAACCAGCATCACATATAGGGTAACCCCACAAGACCAAACATCTGCAATCTTTATTCATTCATTCACATATAAATAATTATTTTATTTATAATGAATTAGAATGTGGGTGTTGACTTTATGAAGCACATTTTGAGGCCAACTAACAGATTACAAGTAGTTCAAAAAAAGTCCAACCTTTCCATCATACTCTTTTCTTGAAAAGACTTCTGGTGCAATGTATGCTGGGGTTCCAACTGTGGACTTGGGCTGTGAATGCAAAACTGCAGACTAAAAAATGAACACCAATAGTCATCAATTTCACACACAATTCAACACAAATACTAAAAGACTGAATCCAATCGATAATTAACACATTAGAATTTTTTCCAATTTTTTCCCTGATGTGAGATAGTTTAACAGATTTAATTGTTTTAATGAATATCTATCTCAAAGAGTGAGCATTTATTATTGCCTTGGAATAGCCAAAATCGCATATTTTGAGGCGGGGCGTCGAGCTTCCATCCAAAAGCGTGTTTTCAAGCTTGAGATCTCTATGACAGATTTGCTGCACTCAACAAAAACAAATAAGCCCAAAACATAAGTTAGGTAATCCAGAACACAAGTTAGGTTTATTTCACATTGGTATGACATTACTTGATAAAAGAATGATTAGACTGGGAAATCAAATTACCATAGAGTGGCAATAACTGACTCCAGATATTAGCTGTTGGAAGAAAAATCTTGCCTGAAAAGTAGTCAATATATCTTAAAAAATTAATGTTGAAGATATAGTCCCTTATCAAACATTCAAACTAAAAAAAGACTAATATACAAGAATGCGAGTTACTCATCTCATTATCATTTGATTTTGGATTGGAATACCATAATTCTACAATTTTTTTAAAGAAGAAACGCTTTTGGCATTTTTTTACTCAATCTCCGATAATCATCCAAAACAACCAATTACAAAAAAGTGGCAGCTAAACAGACAACAACACAATATAAGGCTGCATTGCCGATGTGGGATGAACAAGTCAACACGCCCCCCTCACACGAGGCGCATATTTCTGCGGGCGCGGTCCAAAATCAATGGCTTAGCTCTGATACCATGTTGAAACGATAGACTTGAGCCCAATTCAACCCCAAAAGTTAACTCAAGAGGTTGAGGTATTCAAGCTATTAAATAGTAGCACAATATAAGGCTGCATTGCCGACGTGGCATGAACAAGTCAACACGCCGCAACCTCATTTTGGATAGCGAACTCGATTCTACAACTAACAAATTCATAAACAACTTGAAGAGGTTGGAGTTGTGCAAACCTCATCCTCACTAAATCTTCCCGCATTACAAATTCGATCGAATAGCTCTCCCCCGGAGGCGTATTCCATCATTATGGCCAAATGGGTCTCTGTCAAAAACACCTGCACAGTAACACCAATCATCATCATCGCCGCCACCCAACCGCCACCACCAAAGTGGCTGCAGAAAGCAATACACACTCTTTCTTTTCTCATATGCATAAATCTCAACCACACAGTTTTCCATTCATTTCATTAAAAAGATTAGGACCCAATCAATGACTAGTAACTGTTTGATGATTGCATACCTCTTTGAACCTAATAATGTTGGGATGCTTGAGGGATCTATGGTTCATGATTTCCCTCTGAACATGCTCATCAATCTACTAACAGATTAAATGGTGAAGATCAATTTTGCTGCAAATAGGAAATGAAAAGGAGTACTTTTTTTTAATTAAAAAAAGGGTAAGAACAAAATGAATAAATTACCATATGGCCCCTCTCAATATACTTGACAGCCAAAAGCTCCCCACTGCACTTGTCCTTGACCAGCTTGGCAACCCCAAAATTGCCAGAGCCAATGTCCTTAAGAATCTCATACTTTTCCATTGAACTTTTCTTAATTAAGTTATATTTCTCTGCTTTTAAGAGATCAGAAGACACTATTACAGTAAAGGGAATATATTATATTATAATATAGAAGTTGGAGGTCATGTTTTTTTGGAAGCAGAGAAGGTGGAGAGAGGGTACATATATTATATATTTATAGAACAGTTTATTTTTTTTTAATTTTTATTTTGGGTGCAATAATAGCAGAATAAAAAGAGGGAGAAAGAAAGCAGGTGAAGACGTGGCGCTTATGGAGTTTTCTGCAAATGGAAGCAACTGGAACTTGGGTCCTCTTGATTTTTATTTTTTGTCATATATTTATAAGTTACATTGTGACAGGGACGGGTCAAAAACATAAAAACACTAATTTTTTTAAAATTTTTTGTGAAGTAAAAATTCATTCCAATAATTTAAAGAGTTCGGGATACAATCAAATCGAGCAAAGTCCCAAAACGAAAAGATTGTGGTGTTGGAACATACCAAATATCCAAACATGGTCGTTTTGAAGACTCAAATGACATTTATTTGAAAAATCCGTATCACAAGCTCCTGCCATCCTTGAAAGTTTTTCTTTTTCATCTGTTTTAAAAAACTTTTTTTATTTCTATTGAAAAGTCACTTTACCCCTACTATTTTAAACTACCTATTACATCGTATATATTCACTATTAAATTGCCATCAAATCTTACTTTTATCCATCATATCCAAGAACATTTTAAGAAACTCAACACCAAAATACTCCTCTTAAATTCATTAAAAATAAAAAACTCTCATATTTACAGGGAGGATGGGAGTATTATTTTTTGTTTAATGGCCATAACCAAGGAAATTGAAAAGATCAAAAGAAAAAAAAACAAAAGAACATAAGTGGAGTCCGATTGGATCCATCATCGTCCATGTGTTGTCTTTCCTGAATTGTTTATTAACAACCAATTTGGTTTATGGTTGCTAGAGATTTCGTGCTTAACTTTATCAAGTAAAATAATATTCTTATAAGAAAATACTAGTTCTACAACTTTGACTTTGATAAATTAAATTGAGATTGATGTTATAAGAAGCCAAAGATGATTCATTTTTTGAACTTATTTCATTCAATAAAAATCAGACATGCGTAATCAATAATAATTATTTTTTGAAAATATAAAATAATTATAATTATAATTATTTTGTGAATTCACTATAAAAATACCTTATTAGAAGAGATTATTTTGATTTACTATAAAAAATTGATACTCCCTCTGTGTAGTTTTTATTTGTGTATATAAAATTAAATGAACTAACTCAATCAAATGTTTAAATTTCTAATTGTAAGCTCAAAAAGATATAGAAATATGTTAACATGCTCATCATGTAATGCATAGGCGAGGCTTATTTATAGCCCGCATGGGCAACTCAGTTCGTCGAAAACGTGAAATCTTGGACCGATGACCAGGGGTCGAGTCCCGCAATGTGGGGGCTATCCAAAAATCCCATAAAGGGTGAGGAGACTCCTTGTGCGCGGTGGGCACGGGTCTAACGTTCTTGGCCGACTGAGTCACCATGATTTATCTCCTTCACTATTCTTGTCGGACCAGGGGGTGGGGGCGCCTGGGGTGGGCAATTCCACCTTTTGGAGTTTGGACCGATTAAATTTGTTTTTAAAAAATCACACTAATAAAGAGTAAATCATTGAGAAAATATCAAAATAAGAGTTTCATATTTTTATTCCTTAAATAGGAGTTCACACTGCACATGAGCACTTTACTATACCTTTTGGTAGTGTAAATGAATTTTACTCCTATTTTATCTTTTTTCCCTTTGTTTTTCATATAGTTCTAAGTTTCTCGATGGGCAGGGTTGATCATAATTCTTTTTAACCATTATAAAAGCAGACTGTACATACATACATACATAGAGTAGGACATCACTAGCACTAACAGAATACAAAGTACCAAAGTAGTGCCTTTTCTACTTCCTCAGTGCCATATAAGTTTCTGTTTCTGTTTCTTTGTTTTGAAGTTTCAATGTTCACAGACATGATGGCTCTTAAATTTCATAGCCAGGGAACCTGGAATTCTCTGGGCTCATCAAATCAAACCACAAGCAGACCGCTCCGGCTAACCCTTTGAACAGGGAGTAGGCGTGGTCCCCTCCGTACGCGCTGTGGTCCCTACCGCCATGGTGGTGCACGAAGCTCGCGAACGCCACTGCTCTCTCCTTGTAGATGCTCTCTCCGGTCAGCCGGTACAGCGACAGGAACGCGTACGCGTTTCCTGCCGCCCCATCCGCCAGCCCCGGCTTCTTCACCAGCCCGTTCTTCCACACCACTTCCCCCGCTTCTATTGCGGCATTCCGGAATTCCCGGTCCTCCGGAAACACCTAATTAGATATCACAATCGTTGTTAAAATATACTCCGTAGAAACTCTTTCTAGACTTAAAATCACAAGCTTGAGCTTTTGGTTGAATTTGTTCCTTGATGGCCAAGTAGTCACGAGTTCGAAACTAATCGCATCTAGTTTAAAAAAATTGTGTGCAATGCCCAATTTGGTCACACCTGCACGTGAGGGGCGTGTTACAAGCTTGAGCTTATGGTTGAATTAGTTCCTTCATATGGTTTCGGAACTTTGATGACCAAGAGGTCACGAGTTCAAATCTCACTGCTACCAATTTTTTTAAAAAAATTAATTTTCATATGCAAGGCTCAAGCAAAAATAAATCTTGTCTGCATGTAAGGGGCGTGTTAGAGTATAAAACCCATCATGAGCTTTTGATTGAATTGGTTCTTTAACCTAGTATCAGAGTCTTATTGACTACGATGTTACAGGTTCAACAATCAGCTTCACCCAAATTAAAAAATAAAATAGAATTTCACGTGCAAGGCTCGAAACGACCACGTCTGCACGTGAGGGGTGTTAGAAAAAAAAACCTTTCATGGGCCTACAACCACAATCTTACATGGTTTCGGAGTCTTGATGACCAAGAAGTCGCGAGTTTAAACCTCACCGCCACCTAAATTTTTTTTAAAAATTATTTTCACGTCAAGGCTCGGCAAAAATAAATCTCGTTTGCATGGGAGTGATCTTTTCGTTGAGTTAGTTCATTGACACACGTGAGATAACGTGTTAGAATATAAAAATCTTTCCTAAGCCTACAACCACAACTCGAGATTTTGGTTGAATTGGTTACTTGACTCAATACAAAAGTAAGTAAATTACGCGCGAATAGCGAAAGCCAACCTGAGATGCTTTGCACAAGGTGATGCAAACGCCGGTGGCACCGTGAGACCATTGAACCAGCTTATCCCTGGGGTTTCCCTCGCTGACCGGGTAATTCCCGCTGTGAGGGAACCTATTGTTCATCATGTACCTTAAGGTCCCCTTCACATCTTCGATGCCACCATCAGATAGTGGGAAATGGAGCAACACTTGCAGAATGCCAGCAAGACCGTGCGCTGCGCCCCAATACCGCGTGCCATGCCACCTGTACATGAGCGGGCAGACCGAATTGTCGGCCGACCCTGCCCTACCCCCTTCAAGTATGGCTTCCACCACCGGCATTAGGAGTTCATCTGGCACTGCCTCACATCCCAAGTGCCTCTTTATGAAAAGAGCTGCCCACAGAAAACCTGCCCTCCCGTAGAGGAGATCGTACGACATTCCGAACCCTCCTTCTTCAGGACCAACTGGAAGTGCCTTCTCATGTGCCACCTGAAAACAAACATTGTTTGTACTCATAGCACCTTAGAGAAGATCCTTCCAAACACCATTTTTTGCTTATTAAAAAGGTGTGACTAAATCCCCTCTTTTAACTCATTTCTGTAAAGTCCACTTAAGTAGATGACAAATATCAAATTTACACTCCCCCACCCCAAAATAATGTTCACATCTTTATTTTTTAGTTTGTCCAAAAAAAGAGCTTCTCATAGGAGTATAATTTAATGAAAGATTTAAATGGTTCCCATTGTCATTTTCATAAATCTAAGCCACAGAGTTTCACTTTTTTTTGCAGTGAAGGAAACACAAGGATGAGTAGTACCTCAAGGAAACAGTTCAAATAAAGTTCTTGCTTCTGCTGGTCCCCACAGTAACTGGCTGCAACTGCACCTAGTGCATAGATCCCTCCTCTACCACAAAGGAAAGTTATATGTCTGGTCCCCAGCAAGAAAAGAACCAATACAAAAATAATCAAGTTAGGGTCACCCCAAAGATGACCCAACTTTGACGCATTCTTTTCTAGGCACAGACGATGAATGTTTCTGAAGTGTCTATGAAAAGAATGAGATGAAAGTTGGGCTCGCCTTAGCATTGTCCACACAAAAAATCCACTCATATTTGATGAGTTCAAAAAATTTCAAGAATTATTATAAAATGTCTCCAACCAGTTCACCCAAATAGTTAAGAGGTGAGTTGTCAAACAAGCTCAATGTCCTACTCATTATTTGTTCAATACTGTTTTTTTAAATTCCCATGAACTTTTTTTTTTCCTATAGTATCTTTTCTGAATCATATTCATGAATTTTTAAATAAAAGTTGCCCTTTTAAAGAGTAAAACCAGAAAAGTACCAAAATACCATCTAACACCCAAATATTACAGAATAACTACCACCGTCACATTGATTCTTAACTCGGTTTTAATTCATTTTTGTTTAAATATTGATATAAAATCAAAAAATTAAATTTTATATATTTAAACATCAGATTTACATAATAAGAGGGACACGGCTATTATTTTATCAAATAATATCCGAAAATGTATTTAAAAAAAGTAGAAGTTATAAGCTGACCAGTAAACATAAAGACTGAAGAATCCAACTGAATAAAAGTCGGGTAAATTTCACCAATGGTACCTGAACTTTAGCTGGAATTTCGAAGTGGTACCTGAACTTCAAATCCTTTCACAAAAATCCCTGAATTTACACAATCCTTTTACTAATGAGCCATTAGCCCGTTTCTAGGTTAACTTCCGGTCATTAGGGCCAAATTCGAATTTTATATATTTTAAAATTTTCAATTTGACCCCATTTCTTCTTTTCTTTTCTTCCAGGCCCCGCCGCCGCCGCCCGCCGGTCAAAATCGCCGGAAAATGAACTTTTTCCGATTCCGGCGGGACCAATGTCATTCTCTTTGTCTTGTGACGAGGATCAATAATATCCAAACCATTTTGTCTAATTTGTCCTGTAACTTCTCGAATCTGAATTTTTCTACTCGAAAAAACCCTAAAATTCGAAATTGGGTCTAAAATTGGGAGTTTTGCAAATCGTCATCAAATCTTGCAATTGAAGGATCCTTAGAGGTCGCCCGGATGCCACGACCACATTGGAGTTGGTGCCCGCCGTCAATTTCGCCGGAGTTGGCCGGAAAACGCTCCGACCCGCCGGAAACCGCCGGCGGGTCGGAGCGTTTTCCGGCCAACTCCGGTGAAATTGACGGCAGGCACCAACTCCAATGTGTCGTGGCATCCGGGCGACCTCAAGGACCCCTCAATTTCAATTTAAAGATTTGATGACGATTTGCAAAACTCCCCATTTTGGACCCAATTTCGATTTTAGGGTTTTTTCGAGTAGAAATTCAGATTCGAGAAGTTACAGGCAAAATTAGACAAAATGGTTTGGATATTATTGATCCTCGTCTCAAGACGAAGAGAATGACATTGGTCCCGCCGGAATCGGAAAAAGTTCATTTTCCGGCGATTTTGACCGGCGGACCGCGGCGGCGGGGCCTGGAAGAAAAAGAAAAGAAGAAATGAGGTCAAATTGAAAATTTTAAAATATATAAAATTCGAATTTGGCCCTAATGACCGGAAGTTAACCTAGAAACGGGCTAATGGCTCATTAGTGAAAGGATTGTGTAAGTTCAGGGATTTTTGTGAAAGGATTTGAAGTTCAGGTACCTCTTCGAAATTCCAGCTAAAGTTCAGGTACCATTGGTGAAATTTACCCAATAAAAGTCATATACTCCGTAACTATTAGAAATATCCAAATACACCTAGATTTTTAAATTATTTACCGATTTCACTAAACCTAACGCTATAAACTTGTTTTATGATTGAAATTTGTCAAGGGATAAATTTTCTATAGCAGAAAAGTGAAAAAAAGGATAAAATTCAGTTTTTAACATTAAAAAAAATGGATAGGGTGAGCTTGGTTTAGAAGACAGGGAGCAATAATGCAGACTAGATATGCCTTTGGCTAAAGTATGTGATGCTTATACGGAGTATATCTCAACAAGATATATGGGTCCTAGCAAAATATTCTTATTTTTCCCCATTAATCTCCTATCTCTTCAAGGATCGGTTAGCTCAATTGGTCGAGCAAGAGATGCAAAAAAAGTAAATCCGAGTTCGATCTTTGACAACTCCGATGTGAAGTAACTATCCGAGTTCGATCTTTGACAACTCCGATGTGAAGTAACTATGTTAAACATATGTCCTCTGCAAGTACTAAGTGCAGGACAGACCCCACCCTTTGTTAGTCAGAGTGTGATTATAGTTTAATATATCTCATATCGTCCGGCCGGTTCTGAAGACACCTCCGGCCCTTTTTAGTTATTGTCAACTCATCAAAGTAAAACTATTTCCATCTTTCGTATAAGTAAAAAAAAAACCATCTTTCATATATAACCAATGGGCCACAAAAGTGACAGGCTGTAACATCAATATCCCTTTGGTCGGTCAGGAATCCATTTCAATAAAGAACTTTCCTTGTTTGAAAATGAAGTAAAGTTTGCCCCCTCCCCATTCGAGTTTCCACTTTCTACGATTGAAATTGAGACTAGTTTAACCAAATTAACGTGCCACTTAGCAACAACCTAAACAGACAGTAATAACTCTTACAAGACTGTCATGTCCATGCCCTAAAACTCTAAAAGTCGTTAGAATGCCATGTTCTTATTATGACTCATTTCAAATCCGTCCATCGTGCAACAAAGATCTGTCTATCTATTTCTGCCGGCTACCTCGCAAAATTGCTTCCGCCGACTCCATTCTAATATGTTTCAAGCTCCTCCTCATTACTCATGAGTCATGATCAGCTTGCAGAGATATTAGGAATATTAGAAATAATATAGAATAGATTATTATTATTATTATTATTATTATTATTATTATTATTATTTACTTTTCTTATTCTATTGCTTGCATAATTATTACTCTATTGTGATTAAGATCTACTCTTGTAGTCTTTATATATAGGGATGAAACCTTCTTTAATTTATTCAATAAAAACCAATTATTTTTGGCGATTGGAGTAAGAGTGAGAAGTTTCTTTTAATCTCTTGAGGTTGCTCTTTGTTTCTTTATCTTTTTTCATATTCTTGATCTCTAGAAAAAATACAGATGAATACAACTTTCTCGTTCTTCGATCATGCATATGATTTTTTATAGAGAGAAATAAGGGATGACGACGGTTAGACACACTCATAATTTTTTGGAAAAAATGAAATGGTAAAGGACTACGGCTGTTGGACAAGCTTGTTGGAATTGGTGGCAACAGTTAGGCACGCACAAAAGAACACCAAATTTTTATACTCTCTCCGTCTAAAAAAGGAGGTTTTAATTTTAAGATATTTTAAGAGTAGTGCATTTTGGTGTTGAGTTTCAAAAAATGTCCTTGATGTGATTGGTAAAATGGGATTTGATGATTGGATTAATAGTGAATAAATGTGATGTGATAGGTAGATTTTGAATTAGTAGTGGTAAAAGTGATTTTTTAATAAAAATGAGAAAAAGTGTTTAGGGACGGATGAAAAAAGGAAGTAGAAAAATTTTTAGGGACAGAGAGAGTATCTTTTTTATTTACATGTTTTAAAATCATTTCATACAATAAAATAACGGACACTTTTGGAAACCATTTCAGAAATAGACCTCAACCCTCACGGCCAGACTCACATTATTATCGGGGCCTCCAAAATTGGGATTCTAATTTTCTTTAATTTGGAAAATTTATTACTGTACAGAGATAGCGAGTATTAGGAATTTTGGATATTTGCACCAATTAGGCAATTACCATACCTGGAACCGCTGTGTCTTATAGAGATGTCAAAACTCTAAACCTTACTCCGTAAGTTCAAAAACGCAATCAACCGTTGAAACCCGGGAAATCAGGAAACAAATAATACGAGTTTAACCCCAAAACGGAAGAAAGTGGTTGCACTGACCTGGTGGAGGCGCGTGAGACAGAGGCGCACGCGTCAACGATTTCGGCGCACAAGTTCAGGTCTCGGCGATTCCCGATGGCCTCGAACGACCGGAGACAGGTGTAGGCCGTCCCCAGCAGACTGGTGTACACCGTCGGATCCACATTCGGCCCCGCACCGCCACCGCGCGCCGTCCACGTGACGTCGACGACCTGAAGCCAACAAAAAATCGAATCAATTTCAATCGCCGAGTATGAAAAACGAGTCCCGCCGGAATTTACTCTCCGGGCAGTGCGTGTATGTGGCCCACCTGGTCTTTGAGAGACACGGCGGCCTGGAGGAAAGCGTGGGGCGGAAGCAGAACAAAGCTGGGCGCGTCGAGTGCGGAGAGGCGGGAATCGCGCCCGTCGTTTCCGTCTTCGCGGTTAGAGCCGTTACTCTCCGGGGAATACAGGCGGAGTAGAGAAGAAGACATCGTTAGTTGAGCTGGTAATTTATACGGTTGCAGAGTCGGAGTGTGTTGCCGGTGCGAGATAGGCGCGGTGATGCGCCGGTCGCTGTCGGAGCGAGAGAGAGAGATGCGGGGGCGGGTCTTTATCCGGACCCGATAAGAGGATTTGAGTAAGAAGTCACCCTGATGACTTGTTTCCAGATGCGCCTGTTACAGAAATATCTTGTACGGTCCCGAAACACACACATCTCATTTGAGAAATTTCTCTACAATTTAAAAAGACCCTGCTACAATTACACCAAAAATTATATTCCATTTGTACACCACAGTTATAACAAACATTTTGATAGTTTACACCAATACAAGATTTGGTGCGTTAACAAAAATTTACTCATTTTGATGGTTTACACCGATACAAGGATTGATGCGTTAACAAAAATTTACACAGACACAAAGTGTTGGTGCGTTAAGGGCCTGTTTGGGAATATCGTTAAAGATTAGCATTAGCGTTTTGAAAAGGCTATTTACGGCCAGCGTTTTCAAAGTAATCTGCACCGTTAAAATTTTATCCAAAACGCTAACGCTAATCTCTAACGCTATTCCCAAACAGGCCCTAACAAAAATTAGTTTTACACCAACACAAAATGTTAGTGCAAACCTGCGGGGGACAAAACCAAAAAGATGAGATACACTCATATGGAGCCCAATAGTTCAAAAAATAAATAAAAGAGTAAATTCCATAATTGCTCCTTTATAAGAGGATGATTTCCATATTTAATCTTCTATTATCAAATATTACTACCGTAGTCCTTTTTTAAGGGTACCTTTCAACAAATGGTCCTTTTTTTATCTTCTGCCGTGTTGGTGTTAATTTAAAGGCTAAAAGTATAATTTGACATCAACATTATGTCTAGTGATGTGTTATGATATTGGTTAAGCAGATAACACAAAAATAATGACTATAATTGTGGGCTAGGATTCTGACAAAAGACCACATTTGTAGACTATAGTTGTAGTAGAAAACGAATGTAATTCACAAACGACGTAAACGGAATAGTCTTTGGAATTGTGTATGACAAAAAAGATATATTATCATTGTGAAATTATACTTTTAGCCCTCAAATTAACATCAACATGATAGAAGATCAAAAAAAGGATTATTTGTGGAAAGGTACCCATAAAAGATGGACTACTGGGGTAATATTTGATAATAGAGATCTAAATAGGGAAATCCCCTGTTATAAAGGACTAATTATAGAATTTACTCTAAATAAAATAATTATTTATGTTTTATTTAAAAATTAATATGAAAACTTATACTTAAAAATTATTTCCTAAAAAATTATTGTCATAAAAAAATAAGAAATAATGATTAATTATACTTTAATATATCAATATTTAATTTTTTCTTATACATTTTCTCGTTTCAATTAACTAAATATAAATCTGTTACAGAAATATCATGTACGGTGCCGAAACACACACATCTCATTTGAGAAATTTATCTGCAATTTAAAAAAAACCATGCTACAATTACACCAAAAATTATATTCCATTTGTACACCACAGTTATAATAAACATTTTGATAGTTTACACCAATACAAGGGTTGGTGCGTTAACAAAAATTTACTCATTTTGATGGTTTACACCGATACAAGGATTGATGCGTTAACAAAAATTTACACAGACACAAAGTGTTGGTGCGGTAAACAAAAATTAGTTTTACACCAACACAAAATGTTAGTGCAAACCTGCGGGGACAAAACCAAAAAGATGAGATACACTCATATGGAGCCCAATAGTTCAAAAAATAAATAAAATAATTATTTATGTTTTATTTAAAAATTAATATGAAAACTTATACTTAAAAATTATTTCCTAAAAAATTATTGTCATAAAAAAAAAAGAAATAATGATTAATTATACTTTAATATATCAATATTTAATTTTTTCTTATACATTTTCTCGTTTCAATTAACTAAATATAAATCTGAAGTGTTAAATACGAATTACAGATTATTATATATGAACACATTACTTAGCTTTTACGGAGTACTTTTTTCCAAAATAGGAGTATTGCCTTACTTTATTAGTATTTATTAGATATTCATTATTTATCTTTAATAGTAATAAAAATAATACAAATAGAAAATAGAAAGTGTGACAAAATATGCAAAATAATATTAAAAACTAAATGGAAGAGTGAAAATACTAATTAAAATTTCTAATTAATTAAAAATATCTAAAGTATAAGTTAAATAGTCTTATTTTAATTATAATTGACCCGGTTGTTGATTCCTGGGTCGATTGGTCCGACCGGTTACCATTGACCCATTAGCTTGTACGATCTAACTTTCAAATAATGAATTCAGCGAGATAAGTATACATAAACTATTTACTATGATTTTGCCATTTACTCATTTTGTTATAATACTGTTATGTTAATTGTCATTTAAATTTAATTAGGTTGCACACTTTAGTTCGTTAAGCCATTAGGGATAAGGCCCTTAGGATTTTTTCTATCTCGACCCAGATCATGAGATTTTCAAGTCAGGGCCATACTCAGTAGAAGAGGTAAATCGTAAGATATGTCTTAATTGATTAGTGTCTCAAAGTTATCACGACTTATCTCATCATACAAAGGATTCTAAATTCAATTGATCACTGTCTCAAAGTTATTGTACTTAACCTTTGTTTGGATGGAGGTGAGAAAAGGAGAGGAAAGAAAATGAAAGGAAAGAAACTGATTGAAAAGAAAATAGTGAGAAAATGATGAGAAAAAAGTTAATATTTGGATTGATGGAGAATGGAAAGAAAATGGTACCAAAAAAATTTGAAAAGATGAAATAAGAAAAAAAATAGTGGTGGAGAAAGCTCATACTGTTTTCTAACCTATTTTGGTGATATTTTTTTATGTGACCATGCTTAGTTTTCTCACCTCATCATTTTGTCTCCAAAACAAACATAAAAAATGTATTTTCTTTCCTTCCTCGTTCTCATTATCCAAACAATGGCTTATTGTCTCAAAGTTGTGATGTTTAAGTATGAGAAAACTCCCTCAATAAGTCATAAATGTTTTAAAACTAAAATAGAATTTCTATCATTGTTACGTTTTTTTTCAAATGATCAATTAAAATATACAAACAAATATAAGTTAACGAAATGTCACAATAATAATTAGAAAGATTAGTTTAGGACAATGCGGGTATTTTAGGTAAAATAATATTTTAAAAATATTTAATAAGATCAACCTAGCAAACTTATATTTATATCAATATCTAGGATCAATTTTATTTAATTTGTGATTAAAGTTTGTCAATTTTAACAGTAAAAAGTTAAAATTAGAAAAACACACTGGAATGAAGATAATATTTGTTTAAGGCCTGGTTTGAAAACAACACTAGAGGTCTGGAGTTAGCGTTAGAATTTTAAAACACTATCTAACGGCAGCCTTAAGCATTACATTTTCATAATTAATATACATTATTCAAATTTTATCTGAAACGTTAAAACTATGTGGTATGGGGGTGACCAGAAGGTGACATTGACGTGGTGGACGTGCCACCACTAGGGGTGGTCATGGTGACGGGGTGAAGGGGGGGTTTGTTTTTTTTTTGTTTTTTTTTAAATTCTAACCAATCAAAATTTAACATATCTCCAAACAGTCCAAAGTCATCACTCTCAATCATCACACCATACCACGTGTTTTTTCATAACCTCACATCACAACATTAATATACAATCATCACCCCCTTCACCCCCTCCTCATATCACATAACCTAACGCTAATCGAAAATGTTGTTTTTAAAGAAAGCCTAAATCAATACATCGCTAATGTGAGAACAGAGAAGCCAATTCGTATATTATATACGGAGTATGATTTGGGCAACTCCCAATAGAGTTAGGCCATCTGTAACGCTTCACCACCACTCACTCTAAATCAGCAGTACGTCATCATGCGCCACATCAACGCTGAGTGCACTCAACATCTCGCTCACTTCACCCTCGTAGTGCCTCACATTCACTACAATGACTACGACGCCTTCTCCCTTTTTGAAGAAATTAAAAAGCCTTCTCCCTTTCGTGTCCGTGCTCACGGCGCCTCTCATGCATGCCTCTCACGCCACGAAAGTGAACACCTACCTTGGCTCACAGCAATATCTCTGTGTTGCACTACGGGCAACCTTATGAGGTGTGCCCGTGTGAGAGACTCAAAAAGTCAAATCACCAAGCCTATTAGTGGGGCTCACCCTACGTGAAAAGGGACATAGGACATGATGACCCACAAGCAAAACATGTTTATCTAGGGTGAGAGTCGAGTTGCAATAGTCTAGGGGTGAGATCCCCCGATAATCAAGTCCTTAAAAGGATACGTTCTGTAATTAGAGAGGCTAATTACAGATTGTAATTAAACTCATACATTGTACTATAAATACAACATTTCCAAAGGGGATCACATTCTTAATAATCTAGAGGTCTAATACGCTTTGATCTCTTATATTTTCGAAACTATCTTCATATCAATAGTCTATTTTCATATTCTGGTGGAACTAATATCCACAAGATCACCAATTAAACAAAAAGTGCATTGCTATCAAAATGATATAATCATGGGTAAGGAAGTAAAATAATGTCAAACCTAAACGGAAATATGGAAACTATTAGAGATGGCAAAATACAGGCACCTTTGATCGATAGAAACCTTTTCACACATTCTGTACATACATCAAACACCGCTCCTCCATCGACCGTCATTGCAACTCCTTTGATTGATTCAGGTAAAAATCTTTCAAGGAACTATACCCAAATCTGGCATGGTTTTATAATCATAAGTAAATAATCTTATCAAATAGAATCACAATTATAGAATGTTGGCTTGGTAAGACCTTTTTTTGTACCTACCATATGGCAAAGGGCAATGCTGGGGAACCCCACTTATGACACCACTTTAAGCACTCAGAAACACTTCCCCATCCACAGTTATTGTATGTGTTCGCCTTTGGTATCAAAAAAGTGAATAAATACATGTTTTAAATAGAAAAGAAAGAAAGAAAAACGTGAATGCTTACGAAGAAGAATACACAGGGACTCCACTAACAATGCGCAGAGTAACATAATTCTCCATTGAAGTAAGAAGTGAACTCCTCTTCATCTTTGTATATCTCTGCAATTTCAAGTATTCTCACATCACTGGAAATCTAACAATGGAAAATCACCAAACAAAAAATTAGACTAAACATAAAAAAGAGCTTTAGAAAAAACAACTCACGGAAATTTTTGTGAGTGCCTTTGCAAGAAGTTCAACAGCAGAGAGATTAGAGGCATTGATCAAGTTATGGGGGTATCACACTTTGCGCATTCAAAATCAAATCAGAACTTGTCATCATGATACATGTGTTGTTTATAAGAAAAACACAGAAAGAAAAAAAGAAGAGGATTATTATTACATATATGTACGCCTATCAGAGGTTGCCGCAATTTCTTCAGAAGCTTCTCTGCCAACAATTTTGGCAACATCAGCTGGTTGTAGAGCAGCTATCATCTCAAATTTCACACCAGAATCCTTTTCATATCTTTGAAATGTTTTGACTTTTTTGGATCATAAAACATGACTGTCACCCCACTTTAAGCATCTCGCATTTGTTGTCAGTCTAGAACTATGAAATTCTAGATTTCAACCAAAAACCAACTGGCAATGAGACAAGTAAACTCATATTCTTATATATTAGTCTTCTGAAACTGGGTATTGGTCGTGGAACTTTATATCCTCAATAGTCTACCACTTTTGGACCTAATTTAATACTCTGTACATTCATAGATGGATGACTCACTTACCCGCCCTTCCAATCCTTCTAGATCGATGAATGTAATCCTCAGCATCTCGTGGAGGTTCACACTATAAATTAATTTATTAACACACACAAAAAAATACTATGTACTAGAGAAACAAACCTGAATTGCAAGCAAAACGTCAATGTCCAATCTGCAAGCAGCCACATTCGTCGCGACTAAGGTCGTGAACTGACCTAATCAGAATCCTGAAAGTGTAACCTAAGAGAATGAGTTAATCCCACATCTAGTAAACTTTATCTCTTGAGAGCACTTTTAGAATGAGTTAATCCCAACAGTTATTCTTAACAGTGAAAAAAGTAACATAATTGAGCAGCAATAAACAAAATATATACCTCACGTTGGGCCTGTCGAATATCACCATGTAAAGGACGAGCATCGGATAACAACGAAGCAAGTTCAGAAGCATAATCCTTAGTTTCAGTGAAAACAATAGTGCGGCCTCCACTAGGAGAGGTAAAATTAAATTTCATGAAATTGGAATTGACATACAATGATAAAATATGCTTTTTGATATATTGTTCTCTAAATAAGCAAATAACCTGCTATAGCATCGAATGATATCAGGAATGAGTTGAGACCTGGCAGAACTTGAGCAAGGAATAATAGCATTCATTGTGCAAAACTAACCAATGTGCAGATATATTCAACATAAAGACTGGTGTCTTTGCTTGTGAGATTCTGCTGTGAGAGTTGATATCTAGAAGATTATTCGAGACCGTAGAAATTTGTTAGTTGGATGAGACAATTGCAGGTGCAGGGACATCATTTGTGGATCCATCCTTTTCTGTGGATGAGAACGTTGACAGAGAAATGACAAAGCTGGTAATCAATTGTTTAGATGAAGATCTAACTAAAAGGCCCGACATTGGACAGATTGCTAATAATATTGAGAAATTATGTGGCTGGCCCCTTGGTTCATCCTAAGAAGAAGAAGAATAAGCAAAAATGGACGATGATCAAGCAAAAAATGGGCATGAACCAGAATTTATATTTTTGCAGGAAAAGCCCTTTTTTCCTAGAGCCAGATCAGAATAACAATAAAGCATTGCCAGCTTGCTGCATATTAACAAGATTTGCATGCAAATGCTAAAAATTACTATTTCTGTTTCAGATATGCAATGGTTGTAATGAATGCTTTGCCATATTTGCTGGAATATTATAATGATAGGATGAATGTGAAACACTTTCCCTCTTCATCTCACAACTTAAGGCATCCAATAAAGGCTTTATTTCTTGCAAAACAACCTCAGCAGATCCTCTTACAGAAAATTCATGAACAACCCCATCAATTTCGATCATGCTGAGCCCGGGAGCTTCTTTTGATATTCCTTTGGTATTCATCACAGCTCTCACTCTCTTTGCGTCATCAAACTTGCCTGCTTTTCCATAAATATCGCAAAGATTGACATAAAAAGCATGGTTCAGAGGTTGCAGGGAAATCAAATGCTTAGCGACCTTCTCTCCAAGTTCAAAATTCCTATGGATTTGACACCCACCAAGTAGTGCTCCCCACACGAACACATCGGGCTCCATTGGCATACTTCTGATAAGCCCTTCAGCCTCATCGAACAGCCCGGCCCGACCCAAGAGATCAACGAAACAAGCATAGTGTTGAGCTTGTGGGTCTAGAGAATAGAGACTCTTCATTGCATTGAAAACCCAACGACCTTTCTCAACTAGCCCAGAATGGGCACAAACAGATAACAACGAAGTAAAGGTTACGTGGTTAGGCTTTACACCTGCAGTTTCCATGTCTTTGAAAAGCTCAAAGACTCTTTTGGCATTTCCATGGAGGGCGAAGATCGAAATCATGGAAGTCCACGCCAAAACGTCCTTCCTTTTGATTTCCTTAAAAACTTGGAATGCTTTGTCAACGCGACCACATTTCCCATACATATCCACTAAAGCAGTAGCAATCACAGTGTCACATTCAATCTTGCTCCTTTTTAGGAAGCCGTGAACCCACTCCCCGTGATCAATAGCGCCAAGAGATGCACAAGCCGTAATAACATTAGCCATTGTGATTTTATCCGGGATGGTTTTATCATCACTAGAAATCTGCATTTCATGGAACAAATCCAGAGCCTCCTTTCCTTTACCGCACTGAACAAACCCTGTGATCATTGAATTCCATGTGATGATGTTCTTCGTCTCTGTCATTTTCCTGAAAAAATCCATGGCGAAATCAAGCTGCTTGTTTCGCAAACACCCAACAATCATCGAATTCCATGACACGATATCTCTGTGAGACATTTCGTCAAACACCTGTATTGCTCTGTCCATAAGCCCACATCCAGAATACAAACTGATCAATGAGTTCTGAACAATAACATCACAGTGAAATCCGAACTTGAAAACATGAGAATGGATGCTTTGACCGGAAAACCCACCATTGGCCCTCTTAACACATTCTTTCAAAACAAAGGGCAACGTAATAAAATCTGGTGTAAACCCATCAAGTAACAATCTTTTATACAAAATTAAAGATTGGAAAGAAGCGGGGTCACTGTTCTTGGAAGCGTGAGCTCTGATCATGGCATTGTAAGCAAACAAACTCGGGTTGGAGATGAGTCGGAAAACACTGTCGGCATAGCTGAGAGAGCCAGAGTTTGAGACGGTGCAAAAGAAAATGAGGCGAGAAATGAGGTAATAACGATCAGTTGTTAACAGGAAAGGGGATGCTATGATCTGGGCATGAATCGGTTTGAGTTCCTTCATGTTCCTGCAATTGTCCAGTAGCCTTGCTAGCGTGTTCTTGAGATATACGCGTTTGGATTCCATCTTTTTTCCAATTTCTGATGCGAAATTGAAAATCGCTATTATAGTAACTCGTCACTATGAAGAGAAATTGACAATAAAAAAATTTAAAAATGAATAAATGAAATCTGGTAAAACGGAGAGGAATTGCAGGACTTTGTCAAGAGATCTAATTGTTATATTCTACAATGATCAGTAGTCTTGTCTGTCTGTTTCCCTACACTGTTATTATTTCTTCACCATTTGCGAATGTTCCCTCAACAATTCCGGTTCAACTCCTACTTCTGACGATTGCAATAGTCCATATTACCTGCACGTTAATGAAAATCCAGCAGCAATTCTGGTTAGTCCTCCTCTCAACGGATTGAATTATCAAACATGGTCTCGATCCATGGCACTTTACTCCAAGAACAAGTAGAGTTTCATTGACGGAAGCCTTCCAATGCCGTAGAAGGGAACAGGTACCTTTAGAGCTTGGGAACAATGCAACATGACGAGTTCATTAGAGCATCAACAAGGAAGAATGGAATGCCCCACGTGGAACATGACGAGTTCATTTTTTACATTTTTTTAAGAGAAATTTACTTAAATAAGACTAAAACATAATGACTTTTCCAATATAGGACCATATGTTTTTATTTCCCAATGTAAGACTTTTGGTCATTATCATGTAGTCATTATTCAAGTAATGTCCATCATTACTGGACATTATTCTTCCCACTAGGTTATTATTAAGTCCTATTTAGGGAATAAAAAAGTTTATGTCCTACATTGGGAAAGGCATTATGTTTTAGTCCTATTTAATGCAAATTTTACTTTTTTAAATGTTTGTTAAACATAAAAAAATATTTTTATTATTTATTTTATTAAAAAATTATTCTACTTTCTTGTACATTTTTCATAAAAACTTTTAAAAAAATTATTAAAAAAAATATAAAAAAGAAGAGTTGAGTGCCACACTCATGTCTAGACCTGATCAAAGTGCGGGCCGGGCCGGATTTCGAGCCAAGCCGGGTTTCGGGCCGGGCCGAGACACTACTTTACGAAAATTTTAAAGGCCCGAGCCCGGTCCGGCCCTTATAACGGGCCTTACAATTGAACCCCAAGCCCGGCCCGCATGGTTACCCGCGGGCTTCAGGCCGGCCCGGCCCGGACGACAAAAACTTCTAAATAATTTAAAAATAATTTTTTTTAAAAGTAACAAGTTAATATATTAGATATTTGATATAAAAATTATTGTGAGTAAATGAAAGAAAAATTGATATATAAATATATTTTATTTGATATTGCTACTATATATGGAACACAAAATATTATCTATTGGAACGTCATAATCAATGTGTGATACGTTGCAAACAATACGGAGTAGTAAAGATTTATTCATTTTATTATAAATACTTATAGTTTATTTTTTATCTCCATAGAAGTATGTATGTGTGTTTATAATAATTTAAAATAGGTTTGTTCTTTATTATTATTATTAATGTTGTTATTGTTATTTTATTATAATTATATTAAATATAAATATTTAATTTATTCGGGCCGGGCCGGGCCGTGGGCTTGAGCATAAACCCGAGCCTGGCCCTAAAATATTCGGGCCGCCATTTATAAAGCCCAAGCCCGGCCCGTACCCTAAAATGTCAAGCCCAAGCCCACTATTTTGCGGGCGGGCTTTTACGGGCGGGCCGGATACCCGGGCCCGTGATCGGGTCTACTCATGCCTCACCAAGCAAGACATTTTGGTCTTGTCATGCCATGATATGAGTGGAAAGAGCTGATGTGGCAGTGCAAGACATTCCTCTTCCTTGCCCCTCACTGCACATGCTCTTAGGCTAATCTTGATGAATCGATAAGCAAGATCTTCCATTTTTATCAACTACACGAGTTCATTGGCTAATGATCTTCTATTAGCCAATTAAAATTGAATAGGATTTACATTACCAAACATTTAATGTACATTACCAAAAAAGTATAGTAATGTGCACATCTACAGTCCCACATTAACACAGTGCAAAGACCTATTTTGGGAAAAAAACATGAAAGTCTTATTTTGATATTTTTCTCAATGTTTTAGTCCTATTTAAGGTAATTTCTATTGGAGGAAGGATACACGCTGAAAATGTTGCTTTATTTGTTTTTGAGTAAATTTTATAATTGGTCCTTTATAACAGGGGGGTTCCCTATTTAGTCCTCTATTATCAAATATTACCCCAGTGGTCTTTCTTTTATGGGTATCTTTCCATAAATAGTTCTTTTTTGATCTTCTATCATGTTGGTGTTAATTTGAGGGCTAAAAGTGTAATTTCACAATGATAATATATCTTTTTTGTCATACATAATTCCTAAGGCTGTTCCGTTTGCATCGTTTGTGAATTACAGTCGCTTTCTACTACAACTATAGTCTACAAATGTGGTCTTTTGTCAGAATCCTAGCCCACAATCATAGTCATTATTTTTGTGTTATCCGTTTAACCAATATCAGATTACGTCACTAGACATAATGTTGATGTCAAATTATACTTTTAGCTTTTAAATTGATACCAACAAAGTAGAAGATCAAAAAAGAACCATTTGTGGAAAGGTACCCTTAAAAAAAGGACTACAAGGGTAATATTTGATAATAGAGGATTAAATATGGAAACCTCTCTGTTATAAATGATCAATTATGTAATTTACTCTTTATTTTTTCTTTCTATAAGCCACCCAAGGTCAAAATTTATGCTTTTGTCCATATAAAATTAGTTCTTCTGCCTACCTTTCCATTAATATGGGGGAGAAGGACCAAACTAAAAGTAAAAGTTATGTTATATTCTCAAACAGGAGTTAAAACTTAAACTCCTCTAAATAGGAGTAGTTAATTAATTTTTGTTCTCAATTCTCTCTTCTCACGCTCTCTTAGCTTCTCCCGTTGTTTTTTTTTCTTTTCTTGCATGCGTGTACACACTTAAGGAGTTAAGGGGGGTTGGGCCTTGGCATTGAGTTATGGGTAGGAATTAGAATAGATTAGAAAATTGATTATTTATTATTATATTATAAAATCTTTATATTTATTTATTGAATTATAACAACAATTTTGCTCATAACTTTTTACACCAATGTCTAAACTTAACAAACTTTATGCTATTAGTCACCTTTTTATGAGATCAATCCAATTACCTATTTTTTGAATTAAAAGGTTGGCTTTACAAATACCAATTTGTAATAGCATAAAGCTTGTTATGTTTATTACCCAATCACCTTTTTATGAGATCAAACAATACCACACTTAATGCCAAAATTCTTAATCAATAAATATATGAGACCTGATTAATACCTTGTAGATATATGTCAAAATTTTTAAGCAATAAATAGAAAATCAGTAAATTACTACAGTAAAATGTCTATACAGTGTCAAACAAGACCGCATTTAACGCCACAAGTAACCGCATAATGACAATCATGTCATTGTATAAAGTCATACATGCAAATGCATAATACTAAACCAAGAGATAATGTCAAATATGACAATATATAGTGTCACACTTGGCAATGTATAATGACAGATATGCCAATGTATAATTTTACATATAACACATATGTTAATGCATAATCTCAAAAAAGTTAAACATCAAGAAACTCTATTTGCCAACACAATAATCATTTTGTTTTAATATATGTTTTACAAAATAATTTTCTAAGAAGTAAAAATAGATTTAAAATCAAATGTCACAATCTATTTGAAATTGAATATAAAATTGCTCCCTCCGTCCTAAAACTTTCTTCTCACTTCCCCTTTTTCTCCGTCCTAAAACTACCTTCCCATTAGAAAAAAAAGATAACAAATGACATTAATACCCTCATGTATTTACACCAATTATCTTCTAACTCTATATTTTGAATGATTGCAAAAAAAAATTTGCAAAAAATCTTTTTTAAGAGGGGTAAAATTTGAAATCAAAGCCAAAAATTAAAAATGAGGAAAAGTCAAACTGGGAAGAAAATTTTAGGACGGAGGGAGTAATTAAAGTTTCAAACTAACGCAAGGCTAAAAGAATTAGTATCAATTATACAAAATAATTCCCGAAAAAGTAAATTTTTAGATTTAAAATTGAATTTAACTACTTATGTCAAATTGAATTCAAACTTATCCAAAAGGACGGAGGCATTCGAGCCATGAAAAATAAAAATGGTGGAGAGAGTGGAAGGAGATTGTATGTATAAGAGAAAAGGAGATGATGGAGAGTGTGGTGGAATCATTGCCGCATAGAAGAGATGGTAGCGGCATAGAGGGAATTAAGATTAAGTTGACAGCGTCAGCAACTGAGATAAGAACAAAGGAGATCGTAGAAGGATGGGATTGTGAAGGGGTCGGGTGACTTTTTCGACCGCATAGGGTTGGGGTGTGGTGTGGTTAGTGCGAAAGAGTAAATCAAAACAAAAATTAATTAATTACTTCTACTTAAAGGAGTTTAAGTTTGAACTCTTCTTTTGAGGATATGATATATGTTTTACTCCTATTTAGGGGGTTTACTTTTAATATGACACCTAATAATACTGTTAGATGTCAAATTCTAGAGCTCAAATTTATATATTAAGGACGCCACATGTCAATATTCTAGAATTCAAACTCTCAAATTTATGATACATTAATGATGCCTAAACTAAAAAAATACGGAGTAATGTTTTATTAATAAAAAGGAGATGTTATTGGTACACCAAAGATGTACCCCAAATGTACAATACATGCCTCTTTACCATTCATTTTTATATAGTTTTTATTTATTTATTTATTTATTTTGAATTTTACATGTAAATTTTTGTGATTATGGAGGGGTGGGGATATTTGGGGTATTCATGTAGCCCTAGCATTTTTCTTAATAAAAAGCTAATGCCAAACGAGTCCTTCTTCTAATTTTAAGGGTACGTTTGATTGGAAGGGAGGGGAAAGAATGTATGGGAGGGGAAAGAATGGATGTGAGGGGATGGGAAGGGAAGGGAAGGGAAGGGAAGGATTTCTTTCACCTCATTTTGTTTGGAGGGAAGAAAATGTTCTATTTTTAATTTTTTATTTATAGCTTTCACTTTTAAATTTATTTTATTATCTATTTTAAAAAAATATTATCAGTGTTTTTGATTTTATTCTTTCATTTTATTTTTATAATTTTACTTTTTTATTATTGAGACTATTTTTATCATTTATGCTACATTTTATTTTTTTTTATTTTCTTATGTAATTTATTTTATTAAATTTAATTAAGTGTGTGTGTGTGTGTCTATATCTGTGTGTGTGGGTGTATGTGTGTGTATTATTTATTACTACGATTTTCCATTGTGAATTGATTGATTTATCTCATTATTATAATTATTTATTTATAATTTTTTATTTATGTTATTATTTTTATCATGGGTTTTTATTTTATGATATTAATATTTGTAGTTTTGTTATTCTTATTTTTTATATCTACTTCTTTTTTATTATTAATATTTTAATTATCATTTATTTTTTATTTATTTTTTTACTATACAGTTTTTGTTATTATTATTTTTTTATTTTAAAATGATTTAATTTATTTTCTATCTATTTATTAAGGAGTAATTTTAATTTTATTTTATCATATACTCCCTCCGTTCCAAATCATAATGTCTGTTCACTATTCACAGAGTCAAACTTCATTCACTTTCTTTCTCTATTTTCGTTAGCAATTTGATAAAATAAAGTATTATTGTCACTACTAGTTTTGTAGATCTTTTGATGTGGTATTTTTTAACCATTTGTCATATATAATGATTTGAAAATAATTTCAGTCATACATCGTAAACCGAAACATAGGTTATAAAATAGGACGGAGGGAGTATTTTTTTTATTGTCAAGGCAACAAAATTGGCGAAAAAAGAAAAGAATGATTAGAGGGAAGGAGATTGATTTGGAGGAGAGGAGAGAGAATTGAAGCTAAAAATTTTGAGTATCTTCCCTCCATACTTTTAAACGAAACCAAACACACCCTAAGGTGAAAAGTGTAGTTTATTTTTCTCGTCTCACACACAAAATCGCGGATACGGTCATCCCTCCACAATAGCCATCCACATCAATGGGAGCTCTGAGACTGCCTGCCCTCACTTCAATATTCTCTTCCCCATCCTCCGCCGCCACTGCGGCCGCCAGATGTTTTCCGTTACTTTCCCGGTGTCCATCTCACTTCAGCCAGCCTAGACGGCGTTTCTCCTCGCCCAATTTTTCCGTACAGAGCACCCCCGAGAAGGGGATCCCTTCCGAAATTCAAGACCATAAGCCCCCCATAGTCCAGGGAAAGGAAAAGGAACGAGTAATCACTCCCAGATCCCAGGACTTCAACGCCTGGTATTTAGATGTCATAGCCAATGCGGAGCTGGCCGATTACGGTCCTGTTCGGGGCACTATGGTTATCCGGCCCTACGGCTACGCAATTTGGGAGGCCATCCAGGTACTATCTTTCGTTTTAATTCACTTTCTCCCAGGGGTTTCAATCTCTCCATAGGGAGAGAAACATGATTTTAATGTGAATGGTTTGAGCTGATTAAGGTTTGTTCTTTGTTGAAATAATGCAGGAATACTTAAATGTGAAATTTAAGGAAACTGGCCATAGCAATATGTATTTTCCACAGGTAGAGTTACCTAACTGGTTTACTTGACAGCCTCTTAATAAAGTGAAAATTATGTGGTTTAAATTTGTTTATAATAGATAAAGAAGGTGATTCGTATATGGAGTAACTCTTACTTGAAAAGGAAAATGGAACACAATTTTGGGACGGTCCAAATAAATAGGAAAGAAGAAACATAATCATCATATAGAGAGAGTATATGATTTTTCCAATACAGATAGATTCTTGTGACATGCAGAAATTTCCATGTGATGCATATGGGATATTCACAAAGTTCTGAACTTTCAAAATGAAATTTAGTAGCAATATAGCCAGCCTATACGGTTATACCAATGTAGTGTGTACTGCTGTACTAGACTAGTGATCTTCGAGAAAATGTATGTGCATTTACTATGTAATATTTGATTGGCCATATTACAATTGCTGACTATGGTTGTTTATATTGATTATTTATGCATAGTTTATTCCAATTTTAGTTTGATTGTGGCTGTACTTTCAAATACGTGCTTTTTATTTGTAATGGCAGCTTATACCATATTCCTTCATTGAGAAAGAAGCGAGCCATGTTGAAGGATTTAGTCCTGAATTAGCTCTTGTAACCATTGGAGGTGGAAGAGAACTTGAAGAAAAGCTTGTTGTAAGCATCCACACCCTCTCTATACTTTAATATTCCCGTTCCCAAAACAAATTTACACTTTTTATTTTGTCAATTTCAAACATACTTGTATACTTCTCCTATTTCCTATTTTAAAAAGGAGTGTACGAGTCACAACATTTCTCTCTATTCTAAAAAATTCCAACTTCACACTTTTCAACACTTTTCTTAAACCCCGCAAAGTCAAAGCATTAGTTTGCTTGGAGGACAAAGAGAGATTGTAATACTCCGTAATTATTTTCTCCAACGATTTGTAGCATCTCTTGAGAGTAGTCATTCAATCATCATGCGGGTAAAGTTTTAGTATATGATTCGCAAGTTGGAGTGTGGAGTGAGGTGATTAGACATTATATGTTCTTTCTGCAATAAAATGAGTACATGACCCTACATAAGTAGTGTTTGAAGGTTGAAGATTAATTATGTAAGATATTTTGACTTCGAGGGAGTTAGTTGTAGTGGGGTGCCTTTGTATAAGTTTGTTTTTTTGTGTGCTGTTAAGTTGTTTTCAATCATTCTTTCTGTATTCCGTTTTTGTTTTACCTTTACTAATCATCATTTAGAATATGATTTTTTTAAAAATCCTTTGATGGTCTATGAGAAACAACCTCATACCTTTATAGGTGGGGTAAGGTCCTTGCACACCCATCCTAACCCTCTCTAGATCCTACTTGTGGAATCTTACTGGCTTGTTGTTAACATTAGCATTGGGTTTGACTGTGCACTTTCTTGAGGTTTTGGCAGGTTCGACCTACAAGTGAAACTATTGTGAATCATATGTTTACTCAGTGGATTCATAGTTACCGTGATCTTCCTCTCATGATCAACCAGGTTTCTCTCATCACATCACTTATTGTTACCTTTTTTGTGGGTTGTTCTTTGAGTTTCTTTTATGTTACTTAATGTGCTATAGTGGGCAAATGTCACAAGATGGGAGATGCGTACAAAACCATTCATCAGAACACTTGAGTTCCTCTGGCAAGAGGGCCATACTGCCCATGCCACTTCAGATGAGGCCGAAAAAGAGGTTTGTGTTTTTAAATTTCATGTCCCCCCCCCACTCCTCCACCCTAAATGGAATTCTTAATACTTAGTTGGCATCCATGTTTTCACTTGATAAGTTGGGCTGCTTAACTGCAGGCAATGCAGATGATTGATGTCTATACAAAATTTGCTTACGAGCAAGCTGCAATACCTGTTATTGCAGGTAGAAAATCAAGAGTGGAGACCTTTGCTGGGGCCTCCAAGACCTACACAATTGAGGCAATGATGGGTGACAAGAAGGCTTTGCAGGCAGGAACTAGCCACAATCTCGGTCAGAACTTTTCCCGAGCATTCGGAACTCAGGTTTGTGAATCCTATTTAAAAAGTTAACTTATGGATTTTTTTTCAAAGCCCAGATTACAATAGCATTGTAAAAAGGACATCTTATTTTGAATATGGTATTGGTAGACATATTATGTGACGGATCCTTATTTATTACTCCCTCTGTCCTGAATAAAACTCTTGCTCATTACTCACACATTCAAACTTTGATCTCTTCTTTTGCCTATATTCATTATTCATTTAATAAA